CCCCTCCCCAAACTCCACATCAATCATCGGCGTCGTTAACGTCGTGTCTAGCGACCCATCATGTAGGCGGAATAGCTTCCACTCATGTTTCCAAAGCTGTTGCCGCCTGTTGCCATGGGTTGACGCATGCCACTGGACATTTCATTTGGTCCCACGCCGAAGCCACCGTTGGCGTACATGCCGAAATTGTTATTTCCGTTGGTATGAGAGTGGTTCGCGAGGCCTGGAGGAGCTGACAAGCCGGGGGGTGGGCCGGTGGCAGTAGAGAAGCCAGGAGGAGCTCCAACGCCGCCTCCGAATCCAGACAGAGGGGTGCTTGGCGTGATGGCAGACGCTGACCCCATGCTGGCGTGCTGACCGCTGCGAACACCAAGAGGGTTCTTGGAAAAGCTGAGTCGGATACCGCCCTTCACACTGTTGTGCAGCATGTATCCATAAAGCTCGTTCAGAGCCTTGGTAGCGAACGATGTGTCTTCGAACTCAACAAAACACATAGGGCCGTTTTGCTTGGTGCGGAAACACAGACGCTTGTATCCACGCTGCTTGGAAAATACGGCCTTGAGCTCGTCTTCAGAAGTGTCCATCGGCAAATTTCCGACGTACAGCGTGTTGCAAGGAGGATTCTGATCAGCAGGGTTGACTGGAGGATATGTCGGTCGGGCGAAATGAGACGAAAACTGCTGAAAGCCCGTATTGGGCCCGTTCGTCAGAGCTGACGGCACGTTATGCGGAGACATTGCCGAGAGGCCAGGTCCTGGCGATTGCATGGTGGCAGCTGATCGTGGAGATGCATAGTTGTTCAATGGCGGGGAACTCATGCCGTTGACGCTGTTTGTGTTCAGCGACAAGGACGCGAAACGGGACACTGGGATCGATGGGTTCGGGTTCGTTGCTCTGCGCGACATGTTGGACTGAGCAGACGGACCCCCAGTGGCGTATCCGATAGATTCGTTGAGCAAATCATTGTCATCGTCAGCCTCGTCATTAATGACAGACTTTCCTAGATTGCGGCTTGCAAATGTGGTCTGCACTGGTGAGGTCGGCGAGAACAGGTTGGATACTCCGAATTCTCCGTTGCCAAGACCCGGGGTTCCATTTGGTGGGGACATCTTCTCCATATTTTGGAAAGTCCCGTTGTAACGCGAGGATTGACGACCATTGGAGGTCGCGCCGGCGATCCCGGTGGACGACGCGATGGATCCATGTCGCGCTGATCCGCTATCGACAGTGTTGCGCCGCGAGCCAATAGCGCCACTAAGCCCATCCTGCAACACCTCAACAATCAGAGTTGCGTCCTTGGTAGCATTGCGCTTGCCATTGAGAAGATCGCGGGCCTCCTTTGCGCCCTCATAAGTCTGGAAGTAGGCGATGGCGGAGGCGAAGCCCTTATCATCAGGGAAACGAGTATGAGAGACCATTTCGCAATCTACGAGGTCCTTCGCGAAAAGCAGAATGTTGCGCACAGCCTCCTTGTCACTGTTGCTGGGGAGTTTGTGCAAGAAGATGGCGTGCCGAGTCTTGCTGTCTGGTGTCGAGTCGGCCTCGCCGAAGGAGAGCATAGAGAGGCCGTTGCGCTCGGCGGGCCGGCGCTCGCCGATAGTGCCGTTCATGTTGTATGTGTGGGACGACGTGAAGACGTCTGCGGTCATGGTGTTCTGGGGAAACAGCTTCGGTGGTGAGGACGAGCTGGAGCTGCTTAGTGAGCCGTGGATAAAAGGACTGTTCGAGAGGTTTGAAGGGCTTATGCTGCTCGGACTAGGCCCACCGGCCATTTCTTCCTTTGTCGCCTGGGTATCGTGGCGGTCGTGGGGAGGACAAAGAGCGTCGTCCAATACGAGTCAAAACAAGCGGCGCAGACCAATGCAGTGAGTCGACGGTGACGATCCAGATGTGACAGGTTTCGGATGGCGAGGTTGGAGGGTCGAATGCAGATAAGGGTGATGCCTGGGGATAAAACAGCTTCGAAACGTGGTTATGCACGGGTCGAGTCTTAATGGGCGCGAATAGTCGTAAAGGCGCAGGCGGACGTGTAAGGATAAGCGAATGGCGCGGTGCAGTAAGAATTACGGGCACTGGCGTTGTCGAGTATCAGTATTCTCCTGCGCGCAGCCGCTGCGGTAGGTGATGCAATCGTCCAGGCGGTGGCTACTGGGCCGGCTTGGGGGAGCGAGGCAATGCGAAGACGGCTGAGCACTGGGGTCCGGCCTGATATGAGACCAGGCTCTGTGGTGGAAAACGAAAGCTGGAGCTGATGCGCTAGCCGGCGGACGAGCTTGCGAGGAATGCGCCAGCAGCGAGGGCCTCCGGGCTGCAACCGTAAACGGGTGCGGTAGGGTAGAGTGGCAGCGATGCAGAGGACGGGTGGTGAGGCCAGTGCATGCAAAGTGCGGCGAATGCAGAGGGACTTGGGGGGCGCGGACTCGAGAGCTGGTGGCTCAGGCGCTGGGCTGCGAGCTCGGATCGCTGGGCTGGTCGAGGGCTCTAAGGTACCGCGCAAGCCAATCGGGGCGGCAGCAAGGGTGCGGGCGGGCGCAGAGGATATCTTCAATTCCGGAAGTACAGTTGTGGGGTGGATGCGTCTTCTCCGCGCGGCAGTGAGTCTCAGCACGGAGCGACAGGGCAAAGCATCTGACAGTGGTAGAGGAAAAGAGGGACGGCACGGTGCAGGAGAGCAAGGTGTGGGTGTGGGAAGGAGAGGTTTGGTGGAAAGAGCAGACGGGGCGCTCTTGCTAAAAGCGACATCACCCATGGGAAGGCGTGTTGGGACTGGTGCTGTGGGCTTGACCCGGAACCCTTGAGCAGCACCGCGACCACCGCGGCTCTAAGCTGATTCGGCTGCGCGAGTGCTCCCAGCACTTGCTGCGCAGTCACACAGGTACCGCGACAGTCGTGCGCGATAGCGTACCACACAGCCATCCTGTGTGTGTAGGCGTGCTGCGGCGCGCCTGCCTTCTGCTCGACGCGTGCTTTCCCTGCTGCGCCCGTCTCACTACCACACGCGCGCTGCCAGACGACATTCTGTCTGCGACGCTTTGAACGTCGCTGCGCGGCACAAGGCGAGCGCTCGGCCATAGCAAAGCCGACTAAAGTATGGCCGCTGCCTTCACCCTTGCTCCAGACTCCAGAGCCAGCCTGGCCTCCCGCTGCTGCCATGCTGAGTGCTGAGCGATCCTGGGCGAAACTGCGCCGGTAGAGGGCCGCCCTCCTACTGGCTGGCTGCTCGAATGCTCTACCGACCTTGACGACAGCTGCGGAGCCCAACGACGCTGCATTTGCGCGCAGCGTGGGATGCTGAGCGCTGCCGTGTCATCTGCAGGCCCAGATACCGTTGCTTCATTGCACCACATCGCTGCTACCGGCGCCCTTGTTGCGTTTTTGCTTCTTGGTGAGGAGGCTCTGCGCTGCTCACCACCCCTCAAAGGCCCGGCTGCGTCTGCATTCGACACATCCCTGTCCATGCACGTCTGCCAGGAGGCTTTCAGGCTATCGCAAGCGGCACTTTGCGGGTGCAGACGACGTTCATCAGGCAATCGGTCCTGCTCCGAGTCCACAAGAGGCCTGTCTCTCTTAGCTGCTAGCGTGACGACGGCTCACCGCGTCTGTGGGAAGTGGCCATTGCCGCTTTTGTAGCTGCTAACCAGCCCTTTGGCGCTGAGCTGCCCGGGGTGCGAACGGCGAATCACAGTCTCGGGCCCGGTTTCGAGGAGGAGATCAGCCCTCCTGTGTCCAGGGAGTGGACCTCTGCATTGATTTACGTCTGGACTCGAACCGCTGTTCATGGGCAATCGCTGCAAGCGCACACAGGCTTCAACATCGCCAGTCAGCTGCACCTCTTTCTACGAGTTGGCGGGTGTGCGCGTCTGCAAACAAGCACTGCGGGGTGTCGAACCCTACCAGACCAACCTCCGAGCATGCCTGTGACTTCGCAAGTGAGATCCGTGGCCGGACTGGACACAGATACACGCGGGGCCAGTGTCCGCCAATCACGGCAGACCGAGAGCCCATCCTCTCGGTATGCCGAAACTCGACCACCATATCCGGTCCTGCTCAAAGGCAAGCGTGCTGCCTCTGCCGTAGGCTTGATCGACAGAGATGCAGACAGTGCATGCATGGTTCCTTCAAAGCAGCACACGGCTTGCAAGAACCAGGTCGCTGGCCCCTAACGTTAGCGCGCCATATACACTCACCTGGCCATCACGCAGCAGGTACCCTACCAGCAAGTGGTACAAGAGAAGGCACCACTCCCGAACAAGAGGCACACTTTTCGTATATCTATATGACTCTACCCTTATAGCGTCTATGAAACACCGCCACGTGGTTCCACCTGCTGCCAAATCATCCCATCATCTCTCTCGCTCAGTCCAATCAAGGCTGTGTACCCGAATGGGGTGGCCTTTCGATGTCCGAGTACAACATCAGCAAGAGCGACGGCTCGGTAGGATTGTAGGAACGACAAGCCCAGCATCAGCAACCTACCGAGTTCCTCAAGCACGTGTGCTTACATACCAGCGTGTCCAACGTCAACTACACGAAGATCGCTAACATGGACATGTGCACGCAGTTGCGTGCGACCATGGCTCGAGTCATCATTGTTCAGCCCGGTCACCAAAGCCTTGTTGCGACAAGCACTACTGTTCGTGGCTCTTGGTACTGCCGCTTTTGGAAGCTCACCTACAGCCAGACTGAGGCAACAGCTTCCGCGTATTCGAAAGCCTTCATCCGAAGATCCACGATTTGTCACATGTCGATAATGGCAGCTATACAACCGTCTTCGATTGCCGAAAACCATTTCGTCGCAGATTATGTATCTGGTTGTCCGCCACAAACGCTCGCTTGGCAGCGCACGACTCACCGCAGATCGTTTAGATATAGGACGAAATGATCAGAGGTAACGGACGAGGAAATCCTCACCGATTCTACACTGGAAGTCTCCGGCACAAGCTTCAATATCGATGCGTATGACAGTGGCCAGCGCTTTTTTGAATGGCCATCATCAGCTACTGCTTTGAAACGGCGCAGCAATGAGTAACACAGACTCTGTAAAGCCCGGAACTTCTATCTAAGCATGGTCGAATACTGTCGACAGCTTGCATGCCCGCTGGGTAGGATCGCGGTATTCTGAACCAACAGCTCGCTTTATCGAAATACAGAATCATGTCAGCGATTATGATGAAACCTCTATCTAGCGGTAGTCTTCGTTCCTAGGCTCGGCCCAGACGACAGTGTTTCACCACTGTCAGGGTGCGTGTTATATCACAGCGCAAGAACGCATGTTACAAGTTATCTCGGCAACAGCACACTTGAAGTACCCTTGCCTATAGATGGCTCATGGGGCACTGTCATTCTTACATCCGCGTACTGTCCACGATCACAATGGCCTTGAAAACTCGGTGCATCGACGGAGAGAGTCTTGAGGCTGGGGTGTACGAAGTTTCACATGGTTCACCATCGCACGTTGACTGAAGACATCCTTCAATGTTCACTAGCTCCACGCATCGCCCTCACGCGACCCGCTGAGGGACCATGCATGCAAATGACGGAACCCTGTTCGCGGAACTGGGAATCAGACGCTTGGATAGCCCTTGCTTACGCTTGCTGATCGTTGACGGAGATCACTCCGCCGTTGCTAACATGAAGCATTGGCGTTAGTTTCACCTCTAACCTCAACGCATCCACGTTCAGCTTTCTAAAATCCACAAGGGCGCCTCCGCCAATCAACTGCGCTAGATCACCGGTTCATTCCAGTCACTCCATAACCCACGGTCTCGCGGTTACTATGTATACACGGTGAACGGTGAGGGGATTGTGCTCGATATGCTCGAACTGCATTCCCGGCCAGGTCAGCTGAGAAGCAAACCACCGAGGTCCCAAGCATACGCACACAGCAACTGCATGCAGCATCGATCCAGTGTCAGTGAGTGCAGAACTGCCGTCGGGCCGTCGACAGGAGAGCTTGCAGTTAGCATGCCACGGCGGGGATGCGCGAACTCAGCCCTCTCTTCACGGGGCAAGCGCCGAGCTGACTTGTCTGTCTAAAGTCGACAAGGTCGAAAGTCGACATGTAAATTGCTAGGGGATGCGCCGCTTGCAACGCTCATCGCACAGGAACAAAGAAACAATGCCGTTTTCCGTCCGATTGAGCATTCACAACTTCACGACTAGAAGCTAAGGGTCGCGACTTCGACTTCGTATGAAGCACATAGATGCGGCCCAATATACCCTCAAGATACGAAGGCAACCAGGCTTGAAGTCTAAATGAATCTTCAGCCTCCTTCACATGCTTGTGAGGGCGATGGCACTGGTGGACACAAGATCAAGGAGTGGTTCTTTCAACATCAGCAGTGGCCTCCAATGTATCTAAAAACTATAATACTGGACACAGCCATCATCTAGAGCAGCACGCTGGTGTCTAATCAAGATCTTCAATATCCAGCGAGAGCTTAATGACGACTATTGTACCTTGTCAAATCACCTCCATCCAGTCCCATAGGACTGAGAGGTTCTTCTGCTGATAGCTTAAGCTGTATAAGCTACTTGGACTATATACCAGCACCTTGTCACCTCGAATTCTTCTGAAGGTCACAGGTCATAGCAGGCCACCAAACACCACAGAACTCTTCATGTCGTACGACGTTGACTGGCCCAGCCTAGTGCCAAGCCATGAGGCTCTATAGACCACGGAGGTAAGCAATCCCGTGCTAGTATCCACCCTCGTGGTCGCCTTTACTTACTGGCACTCCACTGTAGCCTCATTGCCTCGCTCACCGCAGGTGAAGGTGGGTTAGGCGTTTGTCTGATACGATCTCCCTCTCCACAAAGGAAAGTAGAGGAGCCAGTATCATACTTCTGCTCCCAGTAATACCAATTGACCACGTCGCGCACATACGTTCTCGAGCTTATAGCATGACCGCATCTTCAGCGGACATAGCCTTGAAATTGCTCACTGAGCTCGACGATATCGAGGATTCTTGGAACGTGACAGCCTTCCCGCACAGTCACATCGGCAAGCTTCAGCTCAAGCTGCTTGAAATCGACGTTCACCAAACGCCAACCAGCGATCTACCGGCTTTGGCGCATATCAGTTCACAGCTCCGAGGGGTTGCCGAGCAAAAGCTTTACGGGTCTATCCACCTGGAGCGTCTCCGCAAGGCACCTGCAGATGTGCTCTGGCCCTTACATTGCACATTGGTGCTCAGGCCCGATCTCGCACAGATGGTAAAATGTTCACCGGCATGGTTTGTGACCTTTTGGACAGTGTCGAAGCCGACACCTCCAATATCTTTCCAGGGGATTCACACTTCTGCTCCACGGCCAGAATTTCGCTGAACCAGATGATGATCCTCGGTGGCATCATTTCGAACGTGAGAATGGATGAAGCGTTTCTCGAGGGAAGGATGCCTCTAAAACTCATAGGTTCTCCTAGGCAATCCACTCTTTTGCATCTGTGGTATTCAACAGACGGTAAACGCCCAGGAAACGGGAAAAGATTGGGTGAGGGCGGAAAGCTGCTTCCGAAGCTCTGGCAGGCAGACGCTATAAACTCTGCCACTTTAAGCTGGTCAAGCTCAAAGACTACATACAGAGATAAGTGTCACTTCGCGTCCTGTCCGCGTCAGTTTAACTATGCCAGTGCCTTTCATAGACGATTCAGAGTACAACTTCCAGTACCTAGCTACGGTCGCACGCGCAACAACGCACCTTCCTGTTCCAAACCCGCTCCGCCCCAACCGAATTATCCTTCTTGGCTCTCCACTCCGCACAAAACCCTCAACCCAACATTCTACGACAGCAGCGGCGCACAGTCCCCTTCCGTCATCTAGCCTCGCGCACAAACCTCGCAGCTCCACTCGCACAAACCTCGCAAAGTGGCGCGTCCAATCACAACGCACTTAGCAGCTTAGCGACAGACCAGTTCATGCAGCGAGCGCAAACCTTCGGTAGCCTCGATCCGATCACCAGGCATATCGCTGCCGCTTGGGAAGGCAAAAACTGCGATCTGACTGGGAAGGCGGCGGGCGATGTGGATCGTTGCGGGCGCACTACGGAGACTAAGGTTGGGGGCAACCGCACAAGTCGCGCAGCAGACTGTATATAAGAGGCATTCAAGTCATTCCAAGCCTGACATCTTATCACTTCAGTCAAAACATCTTCACGACCCATTACCTTCAAACTCCATTCTCCAACCAAATCAAATCAAATCAAATCAGACGCTATGCAGTCTACTATCTTCACCCTTGTCAACAGCGGCAACTGCGGTTGCTCCGGCCAGAGCACTTGCAACTGCGGCAAGGACTGCACTTGCGACAACTGCCCTGTATGTTCTGTGCATATATCACCAGAGGCAAGATACTGACTATAAGAAGAAGCCCTGCAGTGGTTGTTAAACAACGATAACGATAACGATCTACACACAAACCTTTTGAGTTGGTATCAACGGCGAATAGGCGTGCCATCGTGGCGGAGTTATCTTGAGTTGAGATATCAAATGTCCATAGAGTCCAGGTCATGAATCGAATACGTTATAACTATTTGTTGCATTCATCGTATATCTGTTATGAGCTCATGAAAGGTGTTCATCAACACCATGATTGCATCGTGCTACATTGAACCGAAGCGATGCTCAAAGCCTCCTTCTAATCCTTGGTACGCTGACGAGCCTGTAGATTTCTCGCTGGACTGCAACATTGCGTTGTCCGCACTTCTCGCAATCAGCCCTACCTGATCCATTGCTGTGACTGCCTAGCCACAGCAGACCGTGACATTCTCCTGCATGCGATCTTTGCCACCCTGACCCACATTGAAGCTCTCCCACCCGAAGATGAAGTATCCGAGATATGCGCCAATGAAGATGCAGATGATGATGTATCCGTTGTAGTACATGGCAAGCAACATGACGAAGTAAGCTACAGCGAACTGCAACATATGGAGCAGCGCGCGAATGGCTTGCTGGAGGATGCTGGGGCGGAACTTTTGTACAGCAAGAGCAGCATTCGTCACAGGAGTCTTACTGTTGTCGGACGAAGCTGAAGATGCAACGGGTGCTGTCCGAGTGTGGGAGGCCAGGTACTGTTCAGCGATGTAGCGGTCGTACTCTTTGCCCGCGCGGCGAAGGAATTCGAGGAGGATTACGAGGAGGATGACGCCGATGCATGATCCTGCGAACATGCCCTTCGAGGTGACGTGCCATGAGCGGGCAATGAAGCCTGTTCATATTAGCGATGTCTTGGTGTAGATTGGGCGAGAAAAGGCAGTGCAGTGGGCAATGATTAGACCCTGGTGTGCTTGTAGGATCTTTTTGCACTCACAAGAGTCGACAGTGTACCAGTTCCACATCATCTGTCAATCGCGTCAGTCTATATAATCACACGGCTTGAGAAGGACTGTCCTTACGCTAATTTTGCAGCTGCCGCCCATACTCATACCACCTGATATCCCAGTGCTCGAAGCCATGGCAACGCTGCCTGTGGCTGTCTGTGTAAAACCTGCCATATTAGACATTCCAGTCATAACTGCCGACGTAGCGGTGGCCGTCGTATCGTGTCCTGAGTGGTCCATGGTGGCAATCTAAATAATTGCGGCTTGTGCAAGCGGTTGGAGGCGAGAGTGTGATGGGCAAAGAACGTTGGTAGCGTTGAAGCTGTAAGGATGTTGGTGTTGTTGAGTTGAGCAAGTTCTGACCAGATTTGTTCGGTTTAGGAGGGGAAGGTGAAAGCTGGTAGGAGCGGTGCGTTACTGCAGGAGCGAACCTGTATTCTCATTTCCGATAAATGTTGAACTTCAACAATAAATGGCCGGCCATCGCCTGCCTTATAAACATGGAGCTGAGCACTCGCCTATAAAATAGGTACGCAAACCATTTCACCGGCGAGTCACTGCAGCAGGTGGTACCCGAGCACCAAGACTTCAATTTATCCTTTTCACTCACCATTTCTCGCTGTTACCTTTCGCGTTCACGAGTAGACGATGAAGTCGCAGGACGAAAGTGAAGGATGCGAGATGCTTAGCCCACAGGGCGCCTTCCCTTCACAGGTAAGATCGCCCCGCTTATCGAGAGTGTTTGCGCGCTTTCAAAGCCACGAAAAGGTTATCACCAGAATATTTACCAACAAGGGACATTCTGAAGGGTCTGCTTACATCTTGGTCGCATCCACACAGTGCGCATAGGCGAATGCGGTGAGGTTGTCGTGCCACATTACTTCGGACGACTTGCATGTGGATGCAGGCGAGATAGATTGCTCAACGTGTGGTAAATAAAGCCTCCTGTCCAGTAAGCACCGAGCAAAGGGTCCTTACACATGTGTGGGACAAGGGTGTGATCTCCGAACTGTATGACTTTCGTGGCTTTCGCGTTATGAGGTGGACTCACAGCAAGTATGTACATAATCCGGCATGGCACATGGTGCTGGCTTCTGCATTCCTCCAAGAGATAGAGCACTTTTCTAGGATAGCGTTGAGCCTTCAGAGATCTCCACATGGTAGTATTTTGCGACAGTGACACGAAGCAAAACTTGTACACTTGTGCAAGGTTGAACGGATCGTCCCTTGAGAACCGTGCCACAAGACCTCACGATTGAACGACAGCCTGACCGAGGGCCGTCTCGTTCCTCGCGAAGGGATCAAGACTCGGGTCTATGATCCTCTGGTGTTCGAAGATGTTGGCAATATAGGTTGCATTTTTTTCGCTGTATCTCTGACTGACCAAATGCAGCATCAAATCAAGACCGGCTGTTACACCCGAGGAACTCCAGACTGGGGGCGAGCTCGACTCATCCTCCACCCAACGCGCATGAGGTACCCAGGTAATGTTCAGTCTGGTTTTGACAGTATTTGGCCAGGATGATTTGTTCGTTGTTGCTTTGCTGCCATTCATTATGCCTGCCCTCGCAGCTAAGGCAGATCCAGTACAAATGGTGAGAACTTGCCTGACATTGGGTGCTGTCTTTGCAATGTATTCCAACATAGCATTAAGCGTTGGATCGCACCAGCCAGGACCACCAGCAAGGATCAAAACATCTAATGTTGGAGCCGATTTGAAAGTATGTGTGGGTGGAAGCATAGGGTATACCGAGGAATTGAACGGGCTCATTGCAGCCAATGACGGCTTCGAGGTGACTGGATCCATGGTCTCAGCAATGAGGGCAACATCAATCTTGTAGAGTCCGCTCAAAAATTGTAGGATTCCGATGGGCCCGTGAACATCTAGCAAATCAAACATACGGAAGAGGACGATGCCATATGTGCGGGGTAACGTAGTATTCGTACCTGTTACTGGTTCAGCCCTTTGGTCGCCGCTTATCTAGTTGGGCTAGATCTGTACTTACTGGCGGCGGTTCCGTGGAAAGTGATGATGGGCAGAAGGACCAGAAAGACTCGAGAGGGTCCTATCGTGACGGAACTAGGATATTGATATGGATGCACCAGAGGGAAAGTTAAGGGCAGAAGAGGGGGGGGATACAAAGGAGGCAAAGCGACAGTTATATACTTAACAAGTACCTTACTTGATTCATGGATCCGCAGTTCCTGATTGTTCACCATAAAGTTGGGGCTCCCCGTCAGCACGGCGCAGGAAGTTGCGGCTCATTGGTCACTGAGCGCCGGTGCCAAGCACCCTTGAATCGAGCTCCATCAGGCACGCCTCCACTGCAACGCGGGTTGAGTTGCATGCGCTGACATGTTTGATGCGTCAGTTTGCGCGTGTTTATCCACGGTGGTGAGAAGTGCTGAAAAGAGTGCCACCTCGGCAGGACGAAATGGGGCGCGACGGCCCAACGCCAGGCGCAAAGTCCAGGCTTCGTCATGGCACGCCATCCACAAACACTGCACACTCGATCCCATAAGTCACCGCCAAGCTCAGGAACTATCAACAATATTGGCGCATGAGCGGAATGCTGAGCTATGCAAGTTCTAGCTAAGATCGTCCGCGCTGGTGGTATATAAAGAAGAGCAACGCCTGCGAACGCCAGTGTCAAGCCTACTATCGAAGCACCTTGCGCAATGCTTTCTGAACAGATTACAAGAAGCGGAGAAGCCAATTTTGGGATATTACGAGAGCGAGAGATGAGTAGAGAGGGGGTACCTCAGATGACCTGAGATCGCAGAACGTGGTCCTGGACGAACATGCGCAGCCTGCTGGTCTGCTCTCCAGGACGGACCCAGTGGGAGTCGACACGCTTGAAGGGGCGAGACTCGGCGGGTATCTGCGAGACGTTTGCGCCGTTCTTTTCTGAAGCAGGAGAGTAGATCGCAATGGAAGTCTTGGTGCGAACGATGGAGGAGCCAACAGGATTGCGGACTTTCTGCATCCCTGTAGACCATGGGGATGCAGCAGTCCTACTAGATTGGAGCGAGCAGATGACGATAGGTCTGCCACCATTTTCGGGGTTCGTAACCACGATAGGGTGTTTCCTTCCAACGATTGAAGAGCAAATGACAACCGGTCGCTGTTTCTCCGCCAAAGGAGAGACAATGATAATGGCGCCCTTCTTCGCGTTGAAAATAGTAACCCTATCGACCGCTATTTGGGGAATGACGACTTTCGGGGGAGTTGGCACCCGAGCTGCAGCACGCTTCAAGCTGAAGTACGAACCATCAGGACCGTTGACCTATGATCCTGTGTAGCCGCTGTTGGTCAAGGCCTTCTTCGCGACAGCCGAACGAGCAAGGTAAATGAATTCATCACCCTCTACCTTGATCATGCAGTTGTGCCAAGGAGTAGGAATCTGGAACTCGTACGCAGCAACAGGCTCCAACCGGCTCTCGAGATCGTCGATCGGGCGGACCAAATGCTTGGGGAGAAGACGAATGGCATATTTGGGGCCCTTGTTGTTGTGCGCGTGGATTGACAAACGAACATAGTTGGGCAGCAAAAGCTTGGCCAGGTTGGAGTATCCTTGGTTGCGAGAGATCATCTCTTCGGCGACAAGAGCAGCAGTCTTCTTCTTCTGCTTACCGCCGAGCGACTTCACCGAAGGAACATCGGCAAGATCATCTAGCATGAAGCGTGTTTGGCCGCGGTACAAGCTCAGAGTCTCAGGTTCCTGCTGCTCGATGAGCGAGCGGATGTAGGCACGGTCGGCACCGCCGATTCCCAACATAAGCCTCCTGCATAGCTCGGCACCGCCTGTCATCTTTGTCTTGACCGGGTGCGGCACCTTGTGCGCGTTGCCTGTTACCCTCTTCAAGGTCTGGAATCCCTCAGAGTCGGCGTTGAAGATGTTCTTTAACCCCTTGAAGTCCATCGCTTGAACCGGGGCGATCTGACCGGGGACACGTTCCTTGTAGATCTCGACTATACAAGCGTCGTGTGTATCGATCATCTCGTCGTCAACACCTACTGGGATCTGTTAGCAATTGTTGTGTTCCGGAAACTGCATGTTACTTACTGCAGTCTGAAAAGACGTGGCCGTCGTTAATGACCCACATGGTCGCACCGGGAGGGTAGAAGGCGTTGACCTCCTTGATAAAGTCGTAAAGTACATCCAACGCGATGTTCTCTGCGAGGTCGGGCATGATACCTACGGCCTTGTTCGGGTTTGGTGACTTGTAAGGGAATGCAGGCAGAGCAAGGAGGATAGGAAGAGCGCTGTCGACAAAGCCATACACGCGATTTAAGAAGCCGCCGCGACCGCAAACGTCCCACTGATCATCATTTGAAAGGTTCTTGAGCTTACGCTCGAAGATCTCGGCGATCCTTGCACACATCTCACGGTTCTTAGTTGCCCATGGTGTTGTGGAACCTGAGGCAAAGCTAGCTGGCTAGCACTATGATTGTCTATATACATTATGCTACAACGAATACTTGCTTAAGTGTTCTTGTACTTACCTTTTGGTAGAAGCAGAGAAGTCACGTAGTTTTGATTTCGAGGGCAGGGCGCCTACTCTGTTACACTATAACTGTTACCTAGGCACAGTTACTATCTTGAAGTGATGCCTCGACTTCCCCCTTCTGCCACATACGCCTACTAAACACGTGCTTAGTTCTAACGTAGGTGTAGGGCAAGTCGCCCACCAGGGCGAGTCGCCTACTTTTGCCAAGACCCTACCAAAACATTAACTCTACACTAATGCCTCCACAACTATATTAAATAGACGCGTCTAAAGAGGCTTAGATATAGCTTACACTAACGTGCTTCACAAGCGAGCGGCGCACCCAAGCGAGCGGCGCACTCTCCCCACCAAAACGCTTGCGCAGCGACAACACGTAATGCCTCAACAACACCAAACCCAGAGACTCTATACTGAAGCTGACGTACAGCTTGCTATCTTAGATCTTTAAAAAGAGCAGATTAAGAGTATACAGCTTGCTGAGAAAGTCTATAAGGTCCCTTAAACTACAATACAATAACAACGCGACAGAACACGTTCTTAACACAATTGCAAGCTAAAATCAAAACGCCTTACAAAGCTAGAAGAGGAGGCAATTATACAGCGTATACTTGAAGAGAGTTTACGTGGAATACCGCCCTTGAAGGTGCACGTACGAGATATGGCTAATAGACTGCTGAGAGAGTGTGGTGGGAAGCCTACAGGCAAGAACTGGGTTGATAACTTCATTAAGCGTACACCAGAGCTGCGAACGCGATGGAGCCGTCCGTATGATCGCCAGCGAGCTGCCTGCGAGGACCTAGCGATTATCTAGCCATGGTTTAGCCTAGTTCAATTGACAAAGGCGAAGTATAGTATTATAGATAAGGACACCTAGAACTTTAATAAGTCTAGCTTTATAATAGGCAAGATATCCTCTTAGCTTGTTGTTACAGGCTTAGAGAAACCTAGGAAACAGAAGAAACTACAACCTAGCAATTGTAAGTAGGTTACCCTAGTATAAGGTGTTGCTGCAACAGGGCACATAATCCTACCCTTCCTTATCTTTGCAGGCAAGGTCCTTATCTCCTCCTAGTTTACTAGTCTACCTCGCAACTGGGTTGTCACAGTCTCTCCTACTGGCTGGACTAATAACAACGTCGCGCTGGCGTGGCTCAAGCATTTCGACGTCCATACAAAGGCGTCCTCTGCTGGGGCGTATAGGCTGCTCATTATTGACGGTCATGAGAGCCACTGCTTGATAGAATTCCAGGACTACTGCAAGGAGAACAAGATTATCACTCTCTGCATGCCACCACACTCATCACACATCCTGCAGCCTCTTGACGTTGTCCCCTACTTGCTGTTAAAGCGCCACTACGGCGACAGGATCTCGCTCTTGGCACGCAGCCACATCTACTATATTAACAAAGAAACCTTCCTCCTAGCCTTTAAAGCAGCTTTTGAGAAGACGTTTACACCAGAGAACATTCGCGCAGGGTTTCGAGGCGCTGGACTAGTCCTGCATGACCCTGAGGTTGTGTTATTGAAGCTTGATGTACAGCTGCGCACGCCAACGCCACCTGCACCAGGCACTGTCGCCTGGGAGGCGCAAACACCGCGCAACGCCCGCGAGATAGAGGCGCAATCCACGCTGATTCGAAATTGCATACAAAACTATCAGGGGTCTCTAGCAAGTTCATTAGATGAGCAGGTTAAGCAGCTAAGTAAAGGCGCTCAGCAGATAGCTCATAATATAGTGTTAGTGCAGGAGGAAATAGGCTGCCTTTGAGACGCTGTTAACACGCTTACAAAGCGCAAGACCTGTAAGAGGCAGTACGTACACGCAGAGGAGACCCTAACAGTTAGTAAGGTATCTAACTTAATTGCTAAAAAGGAGGGTGGTAGTTGTAAGGACAGCAAGACGCCTGCAAAGAGGGTGCGCGCAGAGAGGCGCTGCGGCTGTTGCAGCAAGATTAGGCATAACTCCTGCACCTGCAAGGTAGAAATAGAGGATGTAGATAATAGCGATGCTTATGAATAATATTATCCTGTTACGTATATTATAGGAATTTGTGATGGTGTTGCACTACGTCGCGGTGCGTGCGCTGCGCTGGAGAAAGTGCGCCGCTCGCTTGGGTGCGCCGCTCGCTTGTGAAGCACGTTACTAGCTCTTTAATAAGACCCTAATCTCTTAGTAAGACGCGCTGCAGCTCTCTACAACGCGCCCTAAACAACTCTACATAACTAACTTACTAGATAACCTTCACGCGTTAATACTATAGCTAATTCACAGAATCTAACTACTACTAAGGAGTAGGTAGTTGTCAGATAGAACGAGCTTCGGTGAGGTCGGATCTGTACAATCGAGCAGGGACCACCAAGCTTGGCACACTAGCAGAGAACATAGAACCGGCCGTACGCGGTTGGGACAACAAGAGAATCATCAATATCAACATATTACATCATCTATCTTTTTAATCATTATATCTGACAATTAAGAGTCTCACTGCCGCAAACGATACAAAATGGCACAATCAACCCACCGCGATCCTACGGTAACGTTAAGGGATCACACCGACTACACCGGATGGATCACGCAACTGCAGGCCAGATGCGTCGTCTATAAAGTCTGGGACAAGATCAACCCCAAGTCTACAGCCCTAGAAATACCAAAACCAATCGCCGTACGAGCTCCGAGCGTTGTGGACTACGCGCCAGCTGTAAACATCGACGTACCGACGAAACCGACCGAACTCTCAACAGGAGGACAAAAAGCGTTTAAGGAAGATCTTGAATACTATAAGATCCTGCTTGAACAATACAAGAGCGATCGCCATGAATATAAGAAGGAGCGATCAAGCATGCAACAAATTGTCGCATTCATCCAATCAACAGTGTCCCCGCATCTGCTGCGCACATGTTGCTTGCCAGACAAATCACTCAAACAATGGATTACTGACTTACAATTGACAGTCGGAGTCGACGAACAAATCGAACAAGAACGAGCCCGAGACCGATACCTCTTGGCCCTCAAGCCGATGAGAAGCGCGTCACAATGGGACACGTGGCTAGCCGAGTATGACCAGGCAGCTACAGAGGCGGAGACATATCGAGTCGCCGAACTATCACAATTAAACGTGATCACAAAAGACTTCCTGGCAGCCGTGAACAAAGTTGCGCCCATATGGTCCACAAACTTTCAGGACAATGGTAGATTTGCAACTGGCATGAGCCGGAAGGAGATGATGAAACGCTTCCGAGAACACATGATGATGCATTATCTTCTTAGATCAGGGAAACACAAGGCCTTTATGGCTGATGATGCATCGTTTCTCGCTGAAGGGGGTGCAACCTCCCAGAGCAATGAAGGGGACGCCCGACATGCTGAAAGCGCATCATCTGGCAACTGGGGCAGACCCCGTAATCAACGTACAGCGGGTAGGAAAACCACCACGCTTAAGCGGCCTTCAGATCAAGGACCTGCTACCACTGGGGGAGCAAAATGCCCTGCATGTGGACAACGCCATAACATACGGGACTGCTATTATGTCAATCCAGACAAGGCGCCCGAATGGTGGAAACCAAATGAGACTATTAACGAGCTCATAGAATTTAAGCGCCAACATGACGTATCATTTCAAGGGCTTCTCCGCGGCCAGAGTATGACCCGGTCAAGAACCCCACAAGTGATCAAACAGTCACACACTCCAACACCTCCAACGCCCGAGATCAGAGAAGAATGACTCTAGGGCCGGAGAATTGCCATCATCAAGGCATCCTTCAATGCAGCAACAAGCAATCAAAGCGCTGCAGACTATCCACTGCGGAAGTCCTTTATACTTGACTCAGGCACAACGTGTCACATCACAAATGACCCTGACCGCATCTACGGGTTTCGACCACCATTGCCCGGAGATTACATATGGGCTGGAAACTCCAAGGTGTGGATTAAAGGTTATGGAACTATACACCTGACCTTAAGGCATGGGACTACAACAACTACAGTGGTCCTGCAGGACGTAGCAATATGCCCAGACCTGCTATGCAACTTAGTCTCGTTCCGACTACTCCGACAAAGGGGAATCTGGTGGGACACACAAGCCAATCCAACCAACCTTTGGGGATTAGAGAATAGAATAATCGGGACTATAACTGAAATGTTTGGACAATGGGTGCTAGAATATAACGCGCTGGCACCTGCTTCTTACCACACACACACAATAACCTCAAGGAACAAGAAGGGACCACAAAAGGCCTCGGCTATACTGTGGCACAAGAGACTAGGCCACCTGGGACCGTCTGCGGTTGAACACCTAGTACAGCAATCTGAGGGGGTGCGCATCAAAGGCATCACCACTGTGGAGTGCAACTCCTGTGGAAGGGCAAAATCAAGACGGCAGATAAGCTGCGCCCCGAGAACAAACGACGAGGGACCTGGAGAAAGGCTCGCCATTGACTTCCATACTTACGAAGTCTAAGGACTTACAAAAGAAAAGAGCCAAATGCTGATTACTGACAAGTTTTCAGGCATGCAATGGGACCTCTATTTCACGGACCACCGCACTGCAAAGTCAATTATTAAGGCACTTTCAATATTTACCTTGTTCCTTAAGAACCACTACAACATCGCTGTAAAGACCGTTGAGGCAGATAACGAAATCACTACGGTCAAACTAGAAGTCCAGAGGTGGTTGGCAACCTAAGGTATAATTGTAGAGCCCTCCGCGCTGGATACACAAGCACAGAACGGAGGCGCCGAACGCTCAGGGGGGTGTGAACAAAGAAAAAGCTCGCGCAATGCGACTTGATGCCAACCTATCCTGGGAACTGTGGCCTAAAATCACGAGAGCCGCTGTATACCTCTACAATCGAACACTAAACTACACAAACAACTGGAAAACACCATACGAGATATTCTTCACGCGAGTTGCCTTCAGTAATGGAGTAGTCACATCTCTCTAAAAACTAAACCTTGCGCACCTAAAGTCTTATGGGTGTAAGGCCTTCGCTATGACGGATGACACACACCGTGGCAAATCACGCCTACAACGCCTCAATCCAAAGGCATGGATTGGCTACCTAGTTGGGTACCAATCCTCAAACATCTATCAAATATGGATACCCTCCCTTGGCAAAGTTATCAGCACCCGAGACGTCGTCTTTGACAAAGAATTAATCTTTAATGGAACAACTGAGGACCTCATGGACAACCTGATGCACAGCACACTTGAAGAGATAGCGACGCACGTTAGGACCATCGAGCTACCATCACTTGCTCCACCATATCAAACGGACTCCTTTTATGAGGACGAAGCCACTGCAGATTCGCCAGAACAACAGGACGATGCAGACCCACCAGGCTACTATCAAGGAAGGAAGATCAGGGATAACTACCCGACGCCTCCATCAACACCGCCTCCCGTTGCTCTACTTGCACGGTTGATGGCTGGAGACCAATCAGGTCTGACGCAACAAGCGTCCCCAACAACCATACCCTGGGCAGCAGCCTTTATGGCAGGGGCCCAAGCCGGCCGTGTTGGGAAATACAGAGGAGAAGCTATGGACAAGGCTAAGGTGATGAGAATGCTCGCCAAAGGCTTGAAGCCCCACCGAAGTCAGCTTCCTCCACTGCCAACGTGCCGAAACAAGCTTGAGGATCACCCAATGGGCGAAATGTTCTAAGAGGCCGAGCGAGTACACCTTGCAAGCCACCAAGAAATGAAATCATGGTCAGAAATACCACTGAAGAGAATCAAACTGACAGGACAACAGATCCTTGACTGTATGTGGGTATACACCTACAAGCTAGATAAGCACCACCGCTTGTTGAAATGTAAGGCGCGACTAGTAGTCCTAGGAGATCAGCAACGCAACATTACCTCGCAAGACACTTACGCAGCCACGCTCGCCAGCCAGTCGTTCCGGATGATGATGGCAATAGCAGCTCACTATGATATAGAGCTTAAGCAATACGACGTTACAAACGCGTTTGTTCACGCAACTATGGACTGAGAAGTGTACATGAGAATGCCTCGGGGCTACCAAAAGCCTGGAACCATATTGCAAGTAAACAAGGCACTCTACGGCCTTCAGATATCACCCCTTCTCTGGCAGAAAGAATTCACGACTACGCTCAAGGCAATAGGTTTCCAAACGGTGCCCCGCGAGCCGTGCTGCCTTGTGAAGGATGGGATTATTATATTCTTCTACGTTGACGATATCATACTCGCGTACTATAAGGGGAAAGAACAAGAAGCACAACAAGCAATCAAACGCTTGCAGGACAAGTACACTTTTACTAGAGGAAGTGATCTTCAATGGTTTCTCGGCATGGAAATTATACGAGACCGAACAAATCACAAAATCCAGCTATCGCAGGCGGCCTATGCAGACAAGATAAGTCGACTAGCAGACAAGACAAACATTCGGCATGACACGCCAATGGCTGCACTCGAGCTTCAGCCAAGGACTGGACTGGCCACACCAACAGAGATCAACAAGTACTAGCGCAAGATTGGATCACTACTCTTCGCAGCTGTCACTACAAGGCCTGATATTGCATTTGCAACGTCCCGACTAGCCCGCCATCTCACAAATCCAGGACCTGTTCATCACGACGCAGCAGACCAAGTCCTATTATATCTCCAATCTACAAGATCGCGAGCGCTAGAGCTTGGAGCTTAAAATTGGCTGGACATTGAATGCACATTGAATGACTGTTGTAGGCCTACAAGTCCTACTGTTGCCTACAGTACAATGCCACGATTTCCTGATTTCGACAATGGAAAAACTTTTCCCGATGTAGATAGGCATTGCTTTGTCTTTAAAGGTTGTCACAGGCTTAGAGAGACATGCTCAGCCAGAGCTTGTTCAGCCAGGCGATCGCGAGTAGGTTACTGTTATCTAGAGCATCTGCGCCGCTAGGTATGCAACCCTGCCTTTTATTATCTACAAAGGACGCGTCCACATCTCTACCTAGTATAAGGAGACAAATATACCCTATAATTAGAAGCTCTTAGTCTCTAAGAATAGTTAGATAAATAACACACTTAACGTAGATTATCACCGAGCCAGCCATATCACCAAACCAGCCACTTTCTCTTGGCACGACCACCTTTTACCCTAACACAACATGCCTTAACAACAACAACTTCAGAATACTACTAGAGAAGGCAGAGTTATCCTTGCTATCTAGGCCTTCTATGCTGGCCAATTTCGCAGTATCTGCAGCGCTGCTAGAGCGTTGAACGTACCTTATTAGTAGGTCTCTAATTGCCTTTGCAATATCACGTTTTAACTAGACATACACACTAATTGCTAGAAACTTACTATACTAGAGAAGCAGATAATTGTCTAGTATATACTTAACCTTAATTCGCAAGGATTTGCACCCTAGCTATGTAAGGTGGCAGATATAGCTAATAAGATACTTAGTGTGCGTAGTAAAGAGCCTGTTAGCAAACTATAGGCTAGCAGGCTTATAACACATTTAGACAAGCTTAAAATAGCCTTTAATTAAGCTAAGGATAGACAGAGGATACTACAGGAAGATCCTAAGATAATTAGCACGTAGTTTAAGCTAGTAGAGGATACTTAACTTAAGTATAGCATTTGCAACAACAACATGCATAACTTTAATAAAACTAGGTTCTAGATAGGCGTTGCTTTGTCTTTAAAGGTTGTAACAGGCTTAGAGAGACGTGCTCAGCCAGAGCTTGTTCAGCCAGGTGATCGCGAGTGGGTTACCGTTATCTAGAGCATCTGCGCCGCTGGGTATGCAACCCCGCCTTTCATCATCTACAAAGGACGCGTCTACATCTCTGCCTAGTATAAGGAGACAGATATACCCTATAATTAGAAGCTCTTAGTCTCTAAGAATAGTTAGATAAATAACACACTTAGCCTTAAGTAGTTAAAGCACTTTAACACGCATATAAAGATATGTTAGGTAGGAGTGTATAGGTTGCTTATCTTAGATAGCTATAAGAGCTATCTTAACTAGGAGTTTAAGGACTATTACCTAGAGAACTAAATCCTTACTCTCTATATACTACCTTACTTATTACACATCCTCTAGCTACTTAACATAGTCTATTTCTTGCTATTAAAGCGTAAGTACTCCTAATATATTTAAGACTTAGCACACTAACACATCTTCTACATTAACAAGGAAGGCTTCCTACTAGCCTTTAGGGATATGTTCCTTAATGTGTTTATAAAGGTTAACTACTAAAAGGCCTTTAAGGTATTAGGGCTTGTTCCTACTAACATGCAGGTAGTGTTAGATTGCCTTAAAGTGCAGCTACATACCCTACTAGCAGTACCTCTACCTAAAACACTGTAGCAATCTAAGACACTAAGCAATACACATAAGTTTAGGTCTTAATCTAAGCTTGTAAGCAACTCCTTCTAATAATTACTAAGTGCAGTGTAAGAGGGGTTCTTAAAGCTTGTAAAAGGGGCTAAAGAGATGCTGCACAAAAATATCCTTATTAAGGCCTACGTGCAAGAGCTTGAAGAGCAATTAGCAGTAATAACTAAGAGAAAATCGCGTAAGAGAAAGCAGATTCAGCATAGTGGCACACTTGAGTATGGCCCAGCAGCATCGCGGGTAGCTGCTAAGGCGTGTGTAGCAGCTCAGCTATCTAAGAAGACTTAGGGTGGAGGTGGTCAACTAGGAGCTCAGTTAACTGTTCAGCGCTGTAGGAACTGCAGCAAGACTGGACACAACGCATGAACATGCTAGGAGGGTGCAGAAATATCTTCTAAATCTAATGCAAGTATGCAGTATACTAGGTCACTATTTAATAGCAAGTAGTTGTAGTTGTAGTAACTTGTGTTAGTTGTGCTAAGAGAAAATGGCTAGTTCGGTGATATGGCTGGCTCGGTGATAATCTACGTTATGTGCTAATTGCTAGAAACTTACTATACTAGAGGAGTAGACAATTGTCTAGTATATACTTAACCTTAATTTATAAGGATTTGCGCCCTAGCTATGTAAGGTGGCAGTAGGCTGGCGGAATGGGTATACTCCAACGTCCTTCGTGGGTACCCCCCAAAACCTTATCAATAATACATGGATTCTAGCAAAATAGGGCTTAAAAGAAAGAGAAAAACTACCTCTACATTTCTGTAGTAGAGGGTTTTGTTATAACTATTAAACTGCACAAGCTAGAGGCTAGAAAAGGTTAAAAAAGGGGGGGTACCTAGCGAGCATACCTATTAATAGGTATACTTTGCTAGGTAGTGTTGATAACTCAGCTAATACTAGGCGGAATGAGCTAATTCTTTTTTTATTAGAAGGCGCAATACTAGGCGCTTCTATCAAATAATAGATTATGTAAGCGTATCTCTGCTAGTTAAGAAGCTATAAGCCAAAACGTAAAAAAGCATACCCTACCCATCCGCCAGCCTAGGTGGCAGATAACGTAGATTATCACCGAGCCGGCCATATCACCGAACCAGCCATTTTCTCTTGGCATGACTAACACAAGTTACTGCAACTACAACTACTTGCTATTAAACAGTGACCTAGCATACTACATGCTTACATTAGATTTAGAAGATATTTCTATACCCTCCTAGCATGTTTATGCGTTGTGTCTAGTTTTGCTACAGTTCCTACAGCGCTAAACAGTTGACTAAGCTCCTAGTTGACCACCTCCACCCTAAGTCTTCTTAGATGGCTGAGCTGCTACACACGCCTCAGCAGCTACCCGCGATGCTGCTGGGCCATACTCAAGTGTGCCACCATGCTGAATCTGCTTTCTCTTACGCGATTTTCTCTTAGTTATTACTGCTAATTACTCTTCAAGCTCTTGCACACAGGCCTTGATAAGGATGTTTTTATGTAGCATCTCTTTAGCCCCTTTTACAAGCTTTAAGAACCCCTCTTGCGCTACACTTAGCAATTGTTAGAAGGAGTTGCTTACAAGCTTAGATTAAGACCTAAACTTGTGTGTATTGCTTAGCGTCTTAGATTGCCACAGCGTTTTAGGTAGAGGTACTACTAGTAGGGTATGCAGCTGCACTTTAAGGTAATCTAACACTACCTACATATTAGTAGGAATAAGCCCTAATGCCTTAAAGGCCTTTTAGTAGTTAACCTTTATAAATATATTAAGGAATGTGTCCCTAAAGGCTAGTAGGAAGCCTTCCTTATTAATATAGAAGATACATTAGCGTGCTAAGTCTTAAATATATTAGGAGTACTTATGCTTTAATAGCAAGAAACAGACTATATTAAGTAGCTAGAGGATGTGTAATAAGTAAGGTAGTATGCAGAGAGTAAGGATTTAGTTCTCTAGGCAATAGTCCTTAAACTCCTAGTTAAGATAGCTCTTATAGCTGTCTAAGATAAGTAGCCTGTACACTCCTACCTAACGCGTCTTTGTATGCGTGTTAAAGTGCTTTAACTACTTAAGGCTAAGCATGTTATTTGTCTAACTGTTCTTAGAGACTAAGAGCTTCTAATTGTAGGGTATATCTGTCTCCTTATACTAGGCAGAGATGTGGACGCGTCCTTTGTAGATAATGAAAGGCGGGGTTGCATACCTAGCGGCGCAGATGCTCTGGATAACAGTAACCCACTCGCAATCACCTGGCTGAACAAGCTCTGGCTGAGCACGTCTCTCTAAGCCTGTTACAACCTTTAAAGACAAAGCAACGCCTATCTAGAACCTAGTTTTATTAAAGTTATGCACGTTATTATTACAAACACTATACTTAACTTAAGTATCCTCTACTAGCTTAAACTACGCGCTAATTATCTTAGGATCTTCCTGTAGTATCCTCTGTCTATCCTTAGCTTAATTAAAGGCTATTTTAAGCTCGTCTAAACGCGTCACAAGCCTGCTAGCCTATAGTTTGCTAACAGGCTCTTCACTACGCACACTAAGTATCTTATTAGCCATATCTGCCACCTTACATAGCTGGGGCGCAAATCCTTACAAATTAAGGTTAAGTATATACTAGACAATTATCTGCTTCTCTAGTATAGTAAGTTTCTAGTAATTAGCGCGTATGTCTAGTTAAAACGTGATATTGTGAAGGCAATTAGAGACCTGCTAATAAGGTACGTTCAACGCTCTAGCAGCGCTGCAGATACTGCGAAATTAGCTAGCATAGAAGGCCTAGATAGCAAGGATAACTCTGCCTTCTCTAGTAGTATTCTGAAGTTGTTGTTGTTAAGGCATGTTGTGTTAGGGTAAAAGGTGGTTGTGCTAAGAGAAAGTGGCTGGTTTGGTGATATGGCCGGCTCAGTGATAATCTACGTTATAGCTAATAAGATACTTAGTATGCATAGTGAAGAGTGTAACGGTCTAGACTCTAAAGCTAAAGAAGAGCTAGAGCTAGCCAGTTACATCAGCTTAGCCGGCTTGGCTTAAGCTAGATATATATTATCTACGCAGTTAATTAGACGTCTAGTTAACTTGTGCATGCTTTTTAGCAAAAGTGGTTAGGAAGTAGATATCCTTTATTGGCCTTTAGCCAGACTACTGCATAGGATACTCCTAGTTGTCCTTCCTCCTTACTCCACCAACACACTTCAGCTGTTTGATGTGGTGATTTTCAAGCCTCTCTCAACAGCGGACTTAAAGGAGCTTATAACACACCTTCACAATAGTTAAGGCCTGTTAGTTATTAAGAAGCCTGCAACGCCTCCTCTACCACGCCCAACTATCACCACACGCAGCGGCTGCTGTCAGATAAGAGCGAGCGGCGAGAGGTCGGATCTGCGCAATCGAGCAGGGACCTGTCGCGCAGCCAATCAGCAGTTGCCAGGTCGATTAAGCGAGACCTGGCAACTCCTGATTGGCCCGCACACAGGCGGCCGCGAACAGCGCTAATTCCCCCCCCCCTTCAATCCTGTAGCGGTCAGCACGACGCGGACGACGAGAGAGACCATCGCCACGATCATCAATAAATCATCATACCACCTAAGATCTCGTTAAGCACATACTCTGGCTCACAGTACGAGAATCCGACAGCTGCACTGCCACTAAATATTAGTAACTTTGTTTTAGAAACTTTATTGCTTAGGTCTATAGATAAATCCACCAAAATATCTCGTGATAATAGCTATTGTATGTGGCTCTACAGCCTCAAATTTGTGATGGCCGTATAGGCTCGGAGCGGGCGTTCGGTGACTCCGGGCGTTCGGTGCACGGACACGGTACGGTAGCTCTAGCGCAAAGTCGAACGAAGCCAGTCGATCCTGCCTCCTAACTGTTGACCAATCTCGACCAAAGGTAATCCCTACTGCTCAGATCGAATAAGAGTGTGGGTTTCGCTTCAAGTCTAGCACTCTCAATTGTCTACACTGTTTCTCAATAAGATGTGCAGTTCTGGCAATGCTCCTCAATCCAGTTTGTAATGGTCTTTTGCTGCGCTGCAACAATGTGTCCATCGTTTCATCTGTGTCGCACAGATCGTAACAGTCTGGACAATCGTGAGGTCTTCGAACTTGCTCAATGTAGCCAAGCCGACAGCCGTTGTGTGGGTTGTGTTGGTTCCTCCGGTGTGCTGCGCCCTGCCCTTGTGCATTCACAGAGGAAGGCCAATAGGGAGGTGTAAACTTCCATATGTAGGAGGAGCCGTTACCTGGCATTGTGAGTGCTGATCAGCTTCTCTCAAATTTCGAGTACAGGTGCAGATTTGATGTGCCGATAGTTGTAGCAGCAAGATGGAGTTGCGAAAAATGTCGGACTCTTATATTCCATATACCTCACTAGTCCCTGTTGAGTTCCAATATCACAAGCATGCAACGAGTGACAGCGATTGAAGGAGACTTCACTGAAGTTGAAAGTTATTTCTTCCTGAACATGCATGTGCAATTGCTCGCTCGCTCGTGCGGTATTCACGATCTTGTCAGGTATTCGATTGAGAATATCAAGAGCACAGCTGACCGGGTGCAAGCCTTGCGCTCTGCTACCTATCTTCCGGTGCTGCAAGATATGGTCACATATGCCAGTTGGGATACAGAAGATCCCCTTACAGAGTTTGCAATTAGTCAGTTAGATTATATTGCGAAGGACAATGAAGTTGAGAGAACTAACATTGAGTAGACCTGTGTAAGGCGCAGGACTACTTTTCCAGTAGGCTTGCTAGTACGTGCAGGCAAAGATCCGAGATTTTCGCTACCGTTCTGCCCCAATTGCATACCTGTGCAAGTCGGAAGCAGACAGAGAATGGATGAGTCGTATGCACGAGTCAAAGTGAAAGAGCTGGAATGACCAAGGGAAAGTCAGGTCGCAGTCAACGAACGTCCGATGATGTAGCGTGGCACTATGATGGTATTTGTGCCGCGCTCTGATGGCTGGACATCGAGTCGCGACTGCTATTCGGCAGTAGTAAACTAAATAACACCTTGGGTATCGAAAAGGTCTGACGGAGATGAGACTCGGTAGGGAAAGAAAGATTATAAGTGTTGTAGAATGGGTAAGGGGAGGTATCTTCGCGCGTGAGCACTGTCGCTTCTAGGCTTGCGATTGAGCTCCTTAAGATGAAAGACGAGAAGATATGGGTGAGTAGATGACGCGCCAAAAAATGCGCTAGAAAATGAGGTAGAAGTAAATGCACGCTGATATGTGATATGGGATATTCTTGGAAACAAAGGAGAGAAACAAATGAGTCCAGAGAGTACAAGGAGCGTCGAGTTGAGTGACCATGACGTCAATCAGTCGTGTCGCGTGCTACGTCGTATCATGATCAACATTTCAGTCCATTAGAAACCGCGGAAAGGATCGTTGTCGATATCGTCGTACAGGCCTGCTGCCCGCATGGGTCGCTCGCGCGCACTATCGCTCCACTGGCTACTGCGTCGGTGGCGGGCTCCTCTAGGCTTCGCGTACAGTCCCTGGCGCTGAACTGTATCACCGAGAGCATTGTCTATGAAAGCTTCCATGCGGACGGTGCCCATGGCATCGAAGAAGTGGCTACGCGTTGACGTACTAGCCTCAGATGTGCGACTGCTTACGACACCATTCGTAGGATTGTAGACCGACGAAGGCACCGAGGGAGGTTGCGCGGACGAGTACATGTCGGAAGATCCATTGGAATAGACTGAGGGTACTTGCTGGTGTGAAAAGCTTCGGAAGGGAATGCTGGGTGGTGGTGCACCAGGACCGGTTGAGCTCCTCTTGCGACCATGAGCTGGACCACGTGGAATGGAAGGTGGACTGGCAGATCCTTCTATCATTCCCTCATACCCAGCAAGCGAAGGTAGGCTCGCAATGGGCTCGTTCTGCGCTGCGTATCGCTGCATGACGGGATTTGCCCTGCCCTTCGCGAGACGCACTGAGTCCTGCACACGGGAACGGCGAAGAATCGCGCCCCCTGAGCGTTGTGGTAGGTCCTCCACTGGTGGTGGCTGAGGCATAGCGCCCAGATCAGGCATGGGCGCGCTTGAATGAGCCAAGAAGGAAAGAGCTGTCAGCCATAGGTAATGGCGCTCTCGCGATACAGTTGTGAACTTGAGAGCACGTGCAGGTGTCAAGATTAGGATCGATCGGTTGAAGAGCTGTTCGTTTTTGGGTGGCGGACTGTTATCGGTGACATCGAGAACGGACTGGATGATGACTGTGAAACTGTCAGTGAATGCCTGAGTGGTTCGATTTGACACTTACGCTTGCGGCCGCTCTTGCCCATCAAAGCAGACCCTGAAGTCGGCTGCTTGCTGCTCCAAAGAATGGCTCGCTCATATGGCGAGATCCACACCCAACGCCTGTGACGTACACCACCGTTAGACAGAGCAGCCTCTTCCGCTGCACGGTCTATGGTTTCGGGTCCGCCGAAGGCCTTCCTCTTGCGCACGTATTTCCACATGAACTCACCAATCATTGACGCAGCGATGGCATCAACGACGCCTGCTTGCGAATTGGAGCTGGCGACTGATTGATTGGCAGTATACGCAGTGGTTGTGGAACGCTGGTATTTATGGCCCATACCACTTGCACTCATAATATCGCTTGGCAGAGGTGGTATTGAGTCTGTGTCAGGGATGCTGGGCGTTGCAGGCATGGTGGGTGACCTGCTTCGTGACCGTCCAGTGCGAGATACTGGCGCCGCAGAGCGCACCTTTCGCAGACTGTCCTTTCGTTGATGCTTAGTACCTTGGATACGACGGCTGGCGTAGGGGCTGCCATTGCCAGGTGTAGGACTTCCAGAACCTTCGCTCTTGCTCAATGGCTTGTTGCGGGAGCTCGATCGCATGGGTACTGGGAAAGGCGGCTTGATGTGAGTTTCGGAACCCAGACTGCTCATGCTAGGCTTCATGTGTGCTGATGTGCCGGACTGGATCATGGCTGATCGTCGGATACTGGGTTGGCGTCCCAATGAGTTGCGTTTTGTGATCTTTGCTGCTTTCTCGAGGGATGGACGCTCAGAACCGATTCGGTGGGAGGGCAAAGAGTCCTCAGACACCCTGGAAGGTGGTGTTGGCTCCTTGTCCTCTGGTACGGGTGTTGGTGGGTTGACCGGTCGGCCGCTCTTAGCATTGCGTGATGACAGCATTGGAGTCACGTATGGCTGGCTACGATAATCATCGTCGCTGTTGTCTGCAAAGTCTTCGTCATCAGATGAAGGGCCGTCGAAGCCAGCAAATAGGCTGCTTGTCCGGAAAGGTCTGTTGAGAATTTCGGCCGGATGATTGCGGTGCAGAGGACCATTGTCGTTATTCCAAGGGTAGCGGTTCTCTACCTTGTTATCTGCAGCCTTCTCCAGTAACGCCAGAAGGTCCTGGCGGGTGGCTGACTTAGCAGGGAGTTGCTCAGTGACGTTGAGAACAGAAGAAACTCCTTGCTTGGGCTCTGGGGTGCATGGCTTGGAAGTTATGGCTGAAGGCAAGAGGTGAGGAGGCAGCTTGACGGGCCGCTGGTCAACCCGAATGGGTTCGGTCTGCATGCCGTAGGACCGCATCGGTGCAATAAGATCATTCGTTGTCTGTGTTGCGATCGTCTTGGTTCCCGGAGGTAGTCGAGCGTCTTTTGGCGAAGATGGTGCCGAATCTGGTGCGTGGATCGCGATGGATGGTATGGAGATCGGTGAAGGCCGAACAGCTCGTTTCATTTCCGGCTGCTGTGCAACCCCCTCAACAAACTCTGTCTGCGTCGACGACGACACCAGTTCAGTTTTGAAAGCGGGCGACACGGGTGCTGCGGGCAGGTCGACGGTCGGTATGGCGATCTTCGGTGTCGGTGGAGGACTAAGTGGTTGCTCGACTGTTTGAACCGCACTGGAAGTCATAGCACATGACGTTAGGCTGCTGCCGCTCCTTGCAGGACTTGAGGATTCTAGCAGTAGTGAAGTGCGCTTCCTGCGCTGGTTTGCTTGACTCTGGATTGCGTCCACCTCGGTATGAGTCGGTGTGCTTTCCACAGGCTTGGGCTGCACAGGGGTCTCGTCGACAGTCTGTGAAGAAGCCTCAGCCATAGTGGGTAGCACCGGCGATGCGGGTGGCGAGGGCTGGATGCCTGTATCCACATAGATTGGCTTCGTCGGTGGGAAGATCAAAGTAATGTCTCTGGGTGTGATCGTAATGGCGGAATGAGAAGTTTCGTACGATGACTTAGCAGGCTCATGCTCTTCGGTCGTTGCAAGGGTCTCCTTGTTCAAGTGTTGAACATCGCTGTTAAGTCCCAGGATGCGTTTCGCCTTATCGTCAGGATTCATGGACATTCGCGACTCTAGGACTCTTCTCGCTCGCATCTCATGCTCGGGAAAGTCGTCGGAGTCAAGTTCCAGCTCGTCCAGATACTCTTCATCCTCGTCGAAGATAAGTTCATCCGCAAGGCTCAGACCATTACCTCGATTGTGACCCTCGTTGCTTAGCAGAGACATCCGGTAGTTCCGACCAATGCTCCTGTAACTGCCGTTGCTGAGGTTCCTCGAGTGCCGCCCGATTCGGGTTGAAGAGCGTCTCTGCGGCGACGAGCGCATGCTAGCTGTGTCGCTTTCGGCGCCTGCACCATCTTTTGCGTCCTCTTCTTCACTCTCGACTCGAGCATCTTCCCGGACTGCCTCCTGAGCGGCGAGCTCATCCAAGAAAAGCTTCAGCCGCGCTTCTGATATGTGAACTTTGCGCTCCAGCGTTCGTTTTTCGCCAGCCCAGACCTCCTTCTCACGGGCCCACATATCATGGACACGGGTCGAGTCATCATCCTGGCTGCGTGATCTCTTTTCGGCGACTTCCAGTTTTATCTTGAGATCTACATTGATGTCCTTCAGCTTGTCGCGCTCGCCAGCAATCTCTTCCAGGGTGGCCAGCATCTCATTTTCGAAATGTTGAAGTTGGCGTTTCGCAACGCGGTTGTCTTTCGCGCTTGAGGACAACTGTTTCACTAGCGACTCATTCTCCGTTCGTGCGGCATGAAGGTTTGTCTCTGTATCCTCAATGAACTTGTACTTCGAATCAAGTTCTCGTCGCAGGCTCAAGATCTCAGATACCAGGTTGGCGTGAAGTGTTGGCGTGAAGCGACGCGGGTCAAGTATTGAGATGGCTTCGCTGTTGGCTGCATTGTCCTCTGTCTCATTCCCAGGATAGTCCGTATCGGGGTAGGGACTTGGTGGAAGTGGAGGCGGCGAGCTGGGAACCTCGTTCGCTGGTGTGCCTTGTCTTGAGCTCCGTCGCGAGGACATGTACGGTGTGCCAGCTGGAGTCGGTAAAGGTCGGTTGACGATAAAGGCCTCATTGTCTGAAAAGTAGTCGGTAGCCATCGTGGAAGTATGCGCTCTGCGATGCTCTAGCACGCTATGCTGGTCTGATCACTACCACAGTCGAGTGGTGCAGGTCAATGTCTATTCAATACATCCCTGATTCCCACAACTCCCGAGCAGCGACAGCGGTATTAATTCGATGTTGACAGGGGTATCCTACGACAATTGAGCGTGATTGCCTTGCAGTGTAAGTGTCGATCGAAGATATATGATCTGTAGCAGTGGTTAGATGGACACGAAGAAAGGTTTCGATTTCACTGATGGCCCTTGGACTGCAAAAGCGATATTGAAACATTGCACGAGGTACACCGTTCACACTTCAGTGTGCCGACGAGTAGGCACAATATTCTTTTCTTCGTGTAGCGAATACAACGAACTTACTATAGTATTGGTAATATGCGTAAAAGAAGCAATAGGAGATAGCTTGGTGATGACGCAGCTCAAAGTGCTTTTCAGAGAGAAACGAAGGAGACACCCAAACGATAAGGGATAGAGAGGATGGGGTCCGAGTGTGTCGTCACCTGCACGGAGCGTAGAGAGGAAGAAGAGGTTAAAGAACGAGGTGCGAACTGGGCATAGGTATTCGTGGATCGCCTGCCGTGCAGTAACTTTCGCCTCCGGAACGAAGGCACAACTCCGCACGTTCCTCTGGGGAGACGGGACCTCCATTAGCAGCGAATGAAGGCGATATACCCTTTCTGTGCCCTGCTCGGATTGTCTTGCAGCCCGAGTCCATGCTTATGCATTGTGAGCACAAGCTTCCCTGCATGGAGCTGTGTCAGGGGCTAGCCGAATGGGCGATCCCCATTGGTTTACGATATTCCACTTGGGAGTATTCAGCGCGCATAATTGGCCACGCATGCGCCCTGCGAGTCCGGCCACGTTCGCGACAGAAAGAAATGACCCGAGCAGGGGGTTGAGGGCATTGAATTTATACCAGCATCTTTCCATCCAGCAACGGCGCACGAAGGAGTGTGATGGCGCGTGACGATGCACGTTGCGAACGAGTAACGGCAGGTGAATCAAGGTGCTGACATGTGTCGAGCCGTAACGTAATCTGCAGAACTGTGCCACATCGAGTCTGATCCTGTGGATTAACTGATAGGCATCTTCGCCGTCACCACGCCGTGATGCGCTGCGATTTGAAGTTTCAGGTCTCAGCCTCTCACGCTGCCGCAAGCGAAGCCGTCACGAAAAGCCACGGGCAGACGGCATGAGCTGTTTGCGGTCCAAGCGATGCATCATAAGCTGCCTTCGCACGGTACCGTTGGCTTTAGCGTGCGATTTGATGTTCGGTCTCAACTCTATTTCGAAGTTGTTGCTCTGGACCGATTGCGAATGCCTGCAATCTGGGATTGAGCATCAAATGCCCAAATGATCTTTTGTTGGGCACATATGGGGTGTGAGACATTCAAAGGATTTCTCTTGGAGCATCGGACCGGGCGAAGGGGTCTGAGTACCGCCTGTGCTTACTCGGCGCCGCAAAGAAGTGGACTCGATGTGCACATCGATATCAGCCATGATGACTTCCCTGGTGTCAAGACCAATTGCGCTAGATGAGACCTTGTCTGCAAGGTACAGGAGGCCAGATCAGAGTTGAGTCGGCGTCGACCTTTGGGGCGGGTTACTCCGAAGATCTTGATGGCTCGACCTCGGGCGTAAACCGTTTTCTGAAAGTGGCTCAGGTAAATAGTCTTGATGGGAAATGGCGTCGCGTGTTCCCAAAACCCGTCAACAACGCGATCCACCACAAGTTTCCCCTGCAATGTCGGACTCTTTTTTTGATTACCTCCGCGATACTCTGTTGATCACACAACCGAGGTGATCAACACAAATGCGTGACGGGAGTCGCATCGATAAACTCAAAGATCCTGGAGCGGGAGCCTGCAGATGCAGCTGCACGCGCAGCTGCACGCATGAACGCTCAATCCCTGCTGAACGGTGTATTGCACATTTGTGACGGGGCCTCGATTCCATTGACATGAACAGGCGACTCGTGTCTTTTGCGACACAAAAAGAGAGTTGTGTACCAATAACACGCGGCGTCGTAATCTTCTGTACATGGCCTAAGATTCGGAAGAGGAGAGTTTAGTTGCCTGGCATTCCCTTGTTCAACATGCCAATCAATTTACCCCGCCGGCTTTGACTTTGAATCAAGGTTGGTGATGGCATGGGAGACCCGGCTCTGCTGTCGGCTGAGCTGCTAAGAGAATTGCGCAAGCGCAAGCGTAAGACGGCAGTCTTTGAGGGTCTAACCCCACTTCACTGCTGTGACTAAGCGAACATTCACAAATTTTCCGAGAGGCACGTCACTAGCGACAACCGCCGCTTGCAACGAGCAACAATTGATAGAGACTTGTACCAAGGTCGTTCAAAACAGCATGGCACAACAAGAGATGGCTACATCCGCGCCGGAAATGCCGCCGGCCATGGCCGAGATCAAGCAACAGAGCGCTGAAGAGGTGTTAGCAGAGATGAATCGAATGCCGTTATTCATGACCACACTAGACGAGACAGACGGCGAAGGTGGTGAGAACCCGTTGCTTGAGGCGATGAAGGCGCTTGCGTACGAAGGAACTAGGTACGAGGTTGCAGAGAACTTCCGGGAGCAAGGCAACGACTGCGCAAGAGCAAATCAATGGAACGATGCGAAAGAATTTTACGACAAGGCGATAGCGGCGTTGAAAGGGCCCCAGAGAAAGCCAGATCCAGAGGCAAACGTTGAGGGAGGACAGGTCATCGAGGTCGAGCTTGATGAAGCAGAGGAGGCAAAGAAAGAGAAGGTCGTGGAGGAAGCAAGCTATGTCAACAGAGCGCTGTGCAACCTCCAAAAGAGTAAGTCACCAACTCAAGTTATGTCGTTTCGAGTATTGTTTGCCTCGACAGGCAAGAGTCGCGGTCCTGCAGTAACGCTTGAGTTGTGCTAGAAGAGGCAAGCCTCCAACCTTTGGGAGCGATGCATCGAGGAGGCTAGAGATGGCTGCAAGTACTGTCCACGAGATATATCGACCACACCCAATGAACAATCTGCATCGTCCCTACCTCCTCGCTTGCATTACCTTAGCTCCGTAAGAGCACATCTTGCATCCCAGCTGCAATGATGATCAGAGGCACACAATACTCTCCTGGCCAAACACCGTACTGACTTCAACCTCAGAGAACTACCGCTCCTGCATAAACGACTGCGCCTCAACTCTCCGTCTCAACCCGTCCAACATCAAAGCCTACTTCCGCTCCAGCAGCGCCTGCCTTGCGCTCGACAAACTCCCCGAAGCCAAGGACGCCTGTGAATTCGGCCTCAAGCTCGACCCCAGCAACGCAGCTCTTCAGGTCCTGGCCGAGAAGATCGAAAAGCGAAGCGTCTATATCGCCAAAGTCGAGTCCGACCGCAAGGCACGCGAGGACAGGATCAAATCCGAGAAAGCCACCCTCGACCTCGCCCTGAAGGCACGCAATGTCAGCGTCCGCACAACCAGTGACGAATCCCCAGACCTGGAAGACGCAAGAATTGCTCTTCAGAACCCTCTCGACCCCTCCTCCCCACTCTCCTACCCGACGCTGATCCTCTACCCGGCACACTCGCAATCAGACTTCATCAAGGCCTTCAATGAGCACCAGACGCTGCCGGAGCACTTGGAGTACATATTCCCATTGCCGTGGGATGAGGAGAAGGAGTACACTGTGGAAAATGTGGAGGCGTATATGGAGACTGCTGCGGGCGGGCTGATCAAGGTGGGGAAGAAAATGGCGCTGCGTAAGGTGCTGGGGAGTGGCAAGATGGTTGTCAGCGACGGGTTGGTGCGGATCAGTGTCGTTCCGAAGAGGAAGAGTGCGGCGTGGATTGAAGAATTTAAGAAGAGGAGGGGTATTGCTGCGTGAGTGCGGAGTGGTGGACGAGTCTCGTTGTAGACTAGAGAGACGAGAAGACATGTCAACATTATGAACGCCGGAACGAACGAGCCACGAAGATGTGCTTTTGATTATAATCTATGTAATCAATGCTAACATGTCGCAACAAGTATGTGGTGCTGAGCCTTTCCATTGTGATACACTGCAAAGGCCATCTCCCTGTCGCCTCGGATCATGCTCAATCTTGACGCCAGATCTACGGAATAAGACTGCAGACCTCCAGCATCAAACTTCGGCTGAAAGATGATAGGTAAAACAAATTGACTCCTCGACAGATCGTCCGAGAGAGGGACCATGGAACAAAAAGATCGCAACATGGTGGGTCGTGAGAGCATCAACTGTCGACATGAAAATCTACAGTGTGTAAATGAGCTAGGGGGTATCTGCGGCGCTCTGGGGGCATTCACTTCTCCGTGTCGTAGAGCTTTTTCTTGCGGACCATCTGCTCTGTCAAGTCGTGCCACACCGAGTAGCGGATCTTGTGCTCGAAGAAGTAAGACCGCGGCTGAGCCCACTTCTCCAGTGTATCCACCTTGATTTGCTCCAGGTAGCCGAGAAATTTGACGTCAGACCTCTGCAAGTGACGGCGGCCCATGAACGCGAGCGACAGCTTGCGCAGTTTGGCATGTCGCAGGATTCGTAGGATGTTGATCAGGGCGTCATCTGTCATATAGCGGCGGTCCTCATTCGAGCTTGCGTGCGGAGTGTCGGATGGACGAGCATCGTTGAAGACAACTTTGAGGTCTCGCAAGTATTGTATGTTCTCCGGACCGATCATCTTGAAGAACTGGAGGGCGTCAAGGTATCCAATCTCCTTAGGCTCATGCTCGTAAAATGTCCCGCGAGTACTCTCATGCCTCTCGAAAGCGAACGTATTCTCGCCGTACATAATTGAGCAACCTTCATTGTGAACAAGCTTGCACGTGCTCAGAAATTGGCCTGACTGACAGAGATCGCGCTTTCCCCAAGGCCGACAGGCAGGTATCTGGAACGTGTTGTCGCGTACGAAGGCGAGACGATACACCTTGTTTCGTAATTCGGGAGGCAGATCGGTGAAGCCTTTGCGGCGTTCTGGTACGACAGGTGTTGGAATCGCGGAGGTGTTTGTTTTGCTCTCCTTCGATGGACGCATGCAGTGAGTAGTATCTCCGTCACCCAGATTCAAGATGGCGGGGTCCAACTTGACGAGCAGAGGACCGTGGTAGCCCAGGGGAACATCGAAGCGTAGGGTGACAGGCGGCTTCTTTGGAGTGCGGCGGTGGAATGCCCCACCAGTTTCATCGTCCGTCAACTCATCTAGCTGTGGCTTGTATATAATGGGATCGAGATGTGGAGATGGCGGAGAAGGACTCCGCTTCCGCTTGCGCTTTGGCTTCTCACTACGGCCACGAGGTGTGCCTTCATCTTCTTCACGCTCGTCGTCGGAGTCATACGGTATGAAGTCCTCTTCTTCTAGTATCCTGGAGTCGACATACCCTGCAACCGGCTTCATCTTCCCTGCACTTCGACGGATAGGTCGACCGGTTTTCTTGTTGTACTGAGTAATCTTCGAAGGGCTGCCGAGTTCAGGACTGCTATCTTGTCGTAGGGGAATCAATGGAGGAGGTGTCGACTCCTTGCCTGAGCTGGAAGACATCTTTGAGTATTGCAGTCCGTTTGCACACGCAGCGGTGTAGTGGACGCGTGATCGGCGGGGGCAACGCTATGGTAGAGGTCGTTGACGCGGCGCAGGCCAGTAAGTAGAATGCAGACACGCGTCATGGCAACAAACGCTGAAGCAGTGCCGCATGCTCAGTTCCTGCCTTGGAGACGCTGTTGGTGGCTTGGCAAAAGGTGGTGAAGGGAAGGCACGATAGTGAGTCTTGAGAGATGAGATGAATCAATTAAGTTGCTACCTACGCGCAAACGGTAAGTAACCAGCAGCCAACAAGATAAAAAGGCCGGCGAGTCACTGATGCTCTCAACGTTGATCGCCAGGTCGACGGAACCCTGTGCTGGGATCGCGAAACGCATCGCACAACTAATTCCATTCATAAGGTCTCTCGTCTGCTCTTGGGTGGTGATGCCCGCAGCGTCTCAGCAGCACCCGCGTCAACCAGCTTGCGCCGGCTGAGCGAGAATGGAGCTGTCTTGAAAGCATTTAATCATGAGGTTTTAGTTGTGAGGAACAGAAACGAGGCGCGAGGCTGGGAAAGTTTTGTTCTCCGCCGGATAAGCGAACTGCCACGCATTGCCGCCTCCGCTGATTGCCTGCTTGCCCTTTGCGGATATCGAGTCCAGCATCGATTCGGGTCCTTTAAAGGTCGCAGCGCGCCTTCGATTCCCGGTACACACGCTACAGCAATGGCGTCTCTCAGATCTCTGTGCAGGGCACCTCTGAGCCAGCTCGCTCGCCGCACAGCTGCCACAAACCACATAATAATACTGCAGCGCCAATGGCGGGGATACGCGACCTCGCTGGAGGCCCAGCAGAAGGTACTTGCAGTTGACAGAGGTATGGAGTGAGTAATTGGCTAACAATTTGGAAGGTGCTCTCCCAGGACCTCGAGGATGCCGACCCGGCCGTTTTCAAGATCATCGAGCAGGTACGGCTCACGCCACCAAGCTTGATATGCGATTGAAGCTTACCATAGTCACCTTGCAGGAGAAGAAGCGCCAGAAGCACTTCATTAACTTGATTCCTTCTGAGAACTTCACATCGCAAGCTGTTCTCGATGCGCTTGGTAGTGTTATGCAGAGTATGTGTCACCCTCCACCAGATACAAACAAAGCTCACATCTGCTGCAGACAAGTACTCGGAGGGGTACCCGGGCCAGCGATACTATGGAGGAAACGAGTACATTGACCAGGCAGAGCGTCTCTGCCAGGAGCGTGCGCTCAAGGCCTTCAACCTCAGCCCCGAGGAATGGGGTGTGAACGTCCAGCGTCAGTAAGCTTCAACTGTGAACAAGTACAAAGCTGACGGAGTCCAGCCCTCTCCGGGTCTCCTGCCAACCTCTATGCCTACTCCGCCGTCATGAACGTCCACGACCGCATTCTCGCCCTCGATCTGCCTCACGGCGGCCACCTGTCGCACGGCTACCAAATCCCCGGCAAGAAGATCTCCGCTATCTCGAAGTACTTCGAGACCCTCCCGTACAGGCTGAACGAGAAGACCGGATTTATCGACTATGAGAAGATGACTGAGCTTGCACACCTCTACCGGCCCAAGGTCATTGTGGCCGGTACATCGGCGTACAGCCGCTTGATCGAGTACGAGCGCATGCGCAAGCTCGCCGATGAAGTTGGCGCATATCTCCTCTCTGATATGGCTCACATCTCAGGTCTTGTCGCTGCCGGTGTCATCCCCTCGCCATTTCCCTACTCAGACATCGTCACTACAACAACCCATAAGTCGCTGCGTGGCCCACGAGGCGCCATGATCTTCTTCCGCAAGGGCGTAAGGCGCACCGACAAGAAGGGCAACAAGGAAATGTACGATCTTGAGGGACCCATTAATTCCTCGGTTTTTCCTGGTCACCAGGGAGGACCTCACAACCACACCATCACAGCTCTTGCTGTTGCGCTCCAGCAAGCGCAGAGCAACGAGTTCAAGGAATACCAGCAGCAGGTTCTTGAGAACGCTCAGGCGTTTGCCAAGCGTCTTGGTGATTCGAAGGAAAACGGCGGTTTGGGCTACAACCTGGTCAGCGGTGGCACAGACAACCACCTCGTGCTTGTTGACCTGAAGGACCGCGGTGTCGACGGTGCGCGAGTCGAGCGCGTTCTTGAGCTTGTTGGCGTTGCGTCGAACAAGAACACTGTTCCTGGCGACAAGTCAGCCCTCAAGCCCGGAGGTCTGCGCATGGGTACACCTGCGATGACCACTCGTGGCTTCCAGCCCGAGGACTTCAAGCGTGTCGCTGACGTTGTTCACCGTGCTGTTGGTATCACACAGAAGCTAGACAAGGACGCGAAGAAGAAGGCCGAAGAGACTGGCCGGAAGAACCCCGGCAGCGTTGCTGCTTTCAAGGAGTACGTCGGCGAGGGCAACGACATCACTGACATTCTGGAGCTGAGGAAAGAAGTCGAGGACTGGACAGGTACATTCGCGCTGCCCTGGAACAAGGACACTTGAATGTTTGCATGCAGGAGAAACGACTGACGCTGCATTGATTGAATCAAAATAGCACTCCATATAGCAGACTCTGGAGTTTGGCGATACCACCTAGTTTGTACATAGGACATCTTATTCATTGTTACTTTGCATCTACTGGCACAATGGCAAGTTGCGCGCTCTTAATCCTCACTTTCACCTGCATAGTTTTCGCCATCACCTTCGATCCTTCCCCCACTCCGCGACTTCCAAAGTCCGCAACAACAATACCAGTCGCTCTTCACTTTCAGATTTCTTCTTCCTCATGTCGCACGCTTCTCTTCGCCATCCCTCCGCTTCAGAAATTCCTACCTTTGTTACCAACAAAGGCAAACGTTTCACGCCTTCTCACACTCGTTACCACAAAGCGCTTGTACACACTTGCTTGCAACGTTACCAGCACCACAATGCTGGGTCGCTTACTCGCTTACTCGATATCGCTCGCTGGCACACAGGCGCTGCCTCAGAGTTTCGTTCTGGATATGGGCCGCATCGATGGCGCCGTGCTGGACTCGCCTCCAGGACCTTTGTTCAATACTACCACTCGTGCTTTCGGCTGGCCTACAACGCTCCAGACAGCTTCCACTTCAAGAATAACCTCCCTTCCTGTACAGAGTCTGGCAGCCAACTCGTTCATAATCGCAAATGTCAGCAGCACCCGCACCTGCCTCACAACCACCACCGTCATGATCACGCTTCCCAACCCCACTCTCCGGCCTACCTCCACCTTCGAGCGAGACGATGACCAGGGCGCTCTTACAGATGGTGAGCCAGATGCTACTCCCTTCGATACCGCCACCGCGAAGCCGTTCTCCAAGTGGCCGCACTGGTTCACAGCCGCGACCTTCACGCTCGTGTGCTACGATATCCTGACGCTGGGTCTCCTCTTATGGTTGTGGGTGTTTGGGTATCTTTGGTGGTTCCACGGAAGAAGCGACGGAAATGAATCCGCGTGGCGGAGGAGGGGAGGGTTGAGTGGAATGGAGATGTCCAGGATAGGTATGGCGGAAAGGTATGACGGGCGCTACGAAAGAGAGTGGGTGAGGACTACGAGGTATGGCAGAGTAAGAAGCGCGAGCGAGCAGAGGGTAAGGAGTGCGAGGGAGGCAGGGCTGGAAGAGGAAATGAGGAGGTTGGGAATGATCTGATCGTCCTGAGGACATGGTGTCATTGTAGGTGAAGCGCGGGAGGTAAATACGAGCGCACACACGAGAGCCACACATTTACCATGCCGATCCAGTCTTGCTCTTCTCCTCCTCCAAAACCTGCAACAGTCGCCGCGTTATTCTGTCGCGCTCAGCAACATCGACTGTGCCGTACGCCTCTTTTGCATCCCTGAACACCTTCTCCTCCCATCCATCTCCCACCTTTGGCGTCCCTGAATCCGCCCAACAGTCCTGTACGGTACCGCCGATGTTCTTGAAGAAGCCTTCAAGACCATCTGGACCCCCACCTGCATGGTAGCTCTTGAAGGGCCCTGCGACTGCCCATCTGGGGCCCATCGATGTCTGAACTATTTGATCCAGCTCTTCTACTGACACCACACCCTGATCAACAAGATAGACAGCCTCGCGGAGTAACGCAAAGGCCAGTCTGTTCGCTACAAATCCCGTAGTTTCTTTCTTGATATGGATCGGCACACGACCCCTCGCGCGCCAAAACTCATGTGTCCGCTTGATGACTTCTCCAGATGTCTCGGGCGATGGTACAAGCTCAAGGAGCGGCATGATGTGCGGTGGATTATACGGATGAACCACGAGCACACGACTCGTGTCTTGCATCTTACAGTTCTGCTGAGAAGCTGGGATGCCGGATGTTGAGCTCCATAGTAGTGCATCCTTGGGAGCGTACTTTTCTACCTCTGCCCAGAGGTTGATTTTGAACGGTGCGTTCTCCGGTCCGGACTCCTGGACGATTGACGCATGCTCGACAGCTTCCTCCAGCGACTTTGCGATCTTCACCTCGGCGAATGATGGTAGCGAGGAGCTTTCCTCGTCTTCGAAGAACTTTGGTAGGCTCTCTTGCACATACTCGGCCACATCTGTGCGGGTGTCGTAGATGGTGAGCTGCGATGGGCTGGCAAGGTGAGATGCGAGATACAAGGCTGCGAACGACAGTCCGATTGTGCCAGTGCCTATCAAAGTGATTCTTGTCTCGGTATCTTTCCTCGTTGAGTCTAACATGGTGTTTGTTGATGTCTGATGTGCATAGGTGTCCCAATGTGGGTAGCTTTCGGGGTCAGCTCCAAACCCCGCCTGCAAGCTCCCGTCATCCCCGCACGACAGCCTACTCGAACATTTCGAACCGACGCGCTGGTGGCGTCGAGCAGACATCATGGATCCTCCAGTCGTCGAAATGAAAGACCGCGTTTTCTCCTCTGCGCGTCAAAAAGGTCCGACTTGCCAGCTCAATCTACAACTGCCATCCTGACCAAGACGTCGTTCATCTGACGCACTACAACATCAAGGAGCCCTTCGCTACTCGTCAAGATGGTCACCTTCAAATCAAGACAACCGCCGATCGACCGTAAAGTCTACGAAGCACATCACCTTGACTTCTGATGACTGACTAAGCGCAGTACCGACCGAATTGACGGATTGGGACTGGCTGTTCGACTCTTCTTACTCCCCAACCAATAAATATCGCCCAAACGAGCTTGCTGGCTTCCAGAATGCAATTACCAAAGAGCGGGTCAGTTGGGCAGATGTCAAGAAGTACTCGACCTACATCGCCACAGCGCTCGTCAAGAAGTATAATCTAAAAGAAGCTGACACCGTCTCGCTCTTCGGTCAGAACACCGTCTGGTACCCGGTCGCTATGTTTGCAGGCCTACGTGCAGGCGCGAAAATCAGTGGCGCGAGTCCAGCGTACAGCGTCGAAGAGATGACATTTGCACTCAAGACTGCGGACTCAAAGTTCCTCTTGACCACGCCAGGCAGTATGGAGGTTGCGTCTGCCAGTGCGAAGGCTGCTGGACTGCCGCAGTCAAATGTGTTTCTGCTCGAGGGCGAGCTCCCTGGCTACACCACCGTTAAGGAGCTTATCAAGATCGGAGAGGCGTACGGCGAGCACTCTCAGGCACCTGCTTTCAAAATCCCGCCTGGCAAGAAGAACAAAGATGTATGCGGCTTCCTCTCATTCTCGAGTGGCACAACCGGACTCCCAAAGGCCGTGATGATCTCCCACCAGAATGTCATTGCCCAATGTCTCCAGATCAAGCAGATCACCCCCAAGACCCAAAAGAAAATCATGGCCGTCCTGCCTCTCTTCCACATCACCGGCCTGGTCCACCAAATGCACCTCCCGATCCTGCTCAATGCCGAGGTAATCATGCTTCCACAATTCAGCATGGAAGGCATGCTCAACACAATCTGCGAGTACAAGCTCGGCGAGCTGCTCCTCGTGCCCCCCATTCTGATCCGTCTCGTCCGCGACCCCATCGTCGACAAGTACGACCTCTCACACGTGACTCGATTCTCGTCGGGCGCAGCACCGCTGTCGGAAGAAATCATCCAGCAGCTGCAGAAGAAATTCCCTAACACGGGGTTCAAGCAGGGCTACGGCATGACAGAGAGCTGCTCGTGCATCACGGCACACCCGCCCGAGAAGTTCGATTACAAGTACGCGCACTCGGGCGGCGCCATCGTCGCGTCGACCGAAGTCAAGATCATCCGCCCCGACGGCTCGGAGGCGGGCTTGAACGAGGACGGCGAGGTGCTTGCGCGCGGGCCGCAGGTTGTGATGGGGTACTTGAACAACGCGTCAGCGACGGCTGAGACGTTCGACACGGACGGCTTCCTGCACACGGGCGATCAGGGCAGCATCGATGCGGAGAACATGATATACATCAGCGACCGCATCAAGGAGCTCATTAAGGTCAAGGGCATTGGCGTTGCCCCAGCGGAGCTGGAGGATCTGCTGCTCGGGCATGCAAAGGTGGAGGATGTAGCAGTCATGAGCGTCAGGGACGACTACAGCGGGGAGCTACCCAAGGCGTACATAGCGCTGAAGCCGGGCGTGGAGGAGAGCGAGAAGGTGGGCAGGGACATCATCGCGTACGTCAAGGAGAAGAAGGTCAGATACAAGTGGGTGGCTCAGGTTGAATTTGTGCGTTCCAGACGGCGCCCCCAGGATCGCGGTTGCACGCTGACTTGTCGCAGATCAAGGAGATTCCGAAGTCGCCCTCGGGCAAGATCCTGAGGCGCGTGTTGCGGGACAAAGAGAAGGCGGGCCGGTTTGGACTAGTGGTCATGGACGAGGCTCGGGCAAAGTTGTAAAGGCCAACACTGGTCGGCAAACCTCCCGTTTCCGAAGCCAGCCAACTTTGTCTTTGGGTTTCGAGTCTAAGCTCCGCCCTGGTTCCGCTACGTCGAATATTTCTATCCCACCACCCAGTTCTCACCGCATTCGCCATTCATTCAGGCATTTTTCATCAGCAATAGAAAGTTTTTATTTCTCCACGGTCTCCATCAAACCGTGGTACGGTTTTGTAGTGTACGTGCCCTGATCTCCTCAATCCAATGAGATAACTAACACCCTTCCAGGTAGCGGTTATCACTCCGGATTCTGATCACTTCAGTATCTTCCGGCAACCCCGGTTCGATTCCGGGCAAGACCTCATTTTTTCGCGTCCAAGATGCCTGTCTCACTGCCGTAACAAGGTGCTGGCTGCTTTTCCTTTTGTTCAGTACTGCTACTGATAGTTGCTGATGAGGAGAGTTTTTGTGTGTGATATTGTTGCAATATCACTGCCAGTGACAAAGCTCTGGTTGGAGATGGCTGTGAATTGTATGCTTTCAGTGGTATACATAAAAGACGCCCGTCTTGCTTTTTGCAAATGCCAATCGTCCTCAAGGGTGCCGTGCCCGTTCGCCAAACGCCTCGCAATATGAATCTGCGCCCACCTCTCCTCCACGTGCCCTCGCGGTGTCTTGAGGGCCGCGTTATAGGTCCTGCTCGCCAATGATATGGCTACATGCGACTCATGCCCTTGGGTTCTGCTCAGCCCTCTGCTTCTACCACGTCAGATGACCCATCGATAACTGGCGTATCGACCAGCAGTCTCTGACTTCCTTATGATCTTCACGACAGCTCCGCGCTTCAGGCCGAGGTACTTTGCGACGGGATCTGTGGACTGGATCCTGGGAAGCTGTGTGGCCTTGAGACGGTAGCGCTTGAGTAGCTGCAGCTTCTCCTCTTCGCTAAGTAGCACGTGCTTGGGGACCAGCTCGTGCTTTGTGATGTTGACCAGCAGGTCCTGCTCGACGAAGACCTCGACGCCGCCCTTGGGGCCCTCGCTCATGGTGGCGGAGCCGCGCAGCAGACGGATGGCCATGCCGGTCATGGGCTTAACGGTGACCATGATGCCCGAGTAGAAGGCACCGTTGACCAGGTGCTGCATGTAGTCGCGCAGCTGCTTGAGACCAACGTTCTCATCGCTGTTGAACTCGACCCATATTGTGCCGATCTGCGGTCGCGGCTCGGGGTCCTTCTTGGTGGCCACGGGGGTGTACTTTGCGAGCATCTCTTCGCCGGGATGGGCGGAGAAGTTGAGCTTCGAGCGGCTGCACAGCGTTAGCATGAGCCCTCTGCTGGCCGTCTCGCGGGGTCGCATACTCGGGCTCGCCGTCGGCACGGCCGTACTTGTCGGCGAACTCGTCGAGTGGCATGTTCATGTCGTCCTCGAGAACCTGGTAGCCCTACGCGTTGTCAGCGCCGTGGTTCGCAGCTTATGCTGGCATGGGCGCATCCTACGCGATCGTTCATCATCTCCTTGGTGGTGCGCCAGACCCTCCACATGCGGATCAGGCTCGCGCTCGGTTGCCTCTCGTCAGACATGGTGGCGGCGGGTCGCTCTGGCGGAGAGCGGTGGGCGGGCGAGGGGGTCGGTGTGGTGCAGCGACAGCTCGGACGGGCCGTTCTCTCAAAGGCGCGCAAAAGTTCACAAAGACCGCGAGTCCGCATGGCTTGGCGCGTCCCGCTCGCGCTTGTCCCCTTGCGTCCTAGCGCCCGCCCCGCAATGATGAGAGCTGTCGAGCTCACGGCAACAGGCGAACATGACATCTTCGAACCAAATACCGAACCTCAAGACACTGCTCGGACCCGCCCGCGGCGGAGGTCTGAGAGGCAGAGGACGCGGCAGGGGCGGACCTGGTGGGTTGGGCGACGAAGTGCGAGACAATGCTGTCCGAGGGACCGACCAAGACGCCGCGGGGAGCAGGGTGAGCTGCGTAGAGCTGGGCTACCTGCGCGACCCGTACGCGAGGCTGTTTGCAACACAGGCCTCGACAAGGAGACTGCCGCTGCTGAACAGAGGTAAGCCGGCTGCTACTACGGGTGCCTTGTGCACTGTTGACAACCTAACAACACAGGCTCCTACGTCCGCACCTCTGCAATCGACCTGCTTGTCACCCAGTTCCTCCTCACCTACCCTTCCTCTGCGAAACAGATTGTGTCGCTCGGTGCTGGCACCGACACACGCTTCTTCCGTCTCCTCGACGCCTACCCGGACATACGCCTAATCTACCACGAGATCGACTTCCCCTCCAACACACTGCCCAAGATCGCCTGCATACAGCGCCAGCCGACGCTCCATCGCAAATTGCTCCAGATACCCAAAACATCGCATTCATTCCATTCGGCGACATACAACATCCATGCGCTCGACTTGCGCACTCTGGCCAGCCCCTCACACGGGGCGCCACTGCCAGAGCTTCCGAACCTTGACCCTACCATACCCACCTTAATACTGTCTGAGATGTGTCTAGTATACCTGCAACCGCAGACAGTGCAAGGCATAGTCTCTGTCTTCACCACGCACTACCTCCAGCCCACTACACCTGCATCGCTCGTGCTCTACGAACCGATCTTGCCCCAGGATGCCTTTGGCAGGACCATGATATCCAATCTGCAGACACGCAACATACACCTTCCCACGCTCACCTCTTATCCCGAACTCGGCGATCAACGAGCACGGCTGAGTGGCTATGGCTTCAAGGACGGTACAAAGGCCGCGGACACAGACTTTATATGGAAGCATTGGATATCCTCAGATGAGAAGGAGCGCGTCGCAGGACTTGAGATGCTGGACGAGCTGGAGGAGCTAGAGCTCCTGCTCAAGCATTACTGCTTTGCCTGGGGATGGAGAGACGGAGAGAGCGATGTATTCTCGAGGGCTTGGGCAGATGTGCAAGAGCAGGCATGACCATGAAACGCTGTAGCACGTGTGATATGAATACCTAATCAGAAACATCTTGATCTGCACATCAGAGGCAGTGGTGAGGTTTGCACGTGTGTTCGCGACAACTCAAGGGACGGGCGCGCTAAGGCCCATCTGTCGTTGCCGCTCGCATCGTGTCTGCCCTTTCACGATCAACAAACACCAAATTCAATTTCGCCGCAACCACACACTAACCTTACAGCACACCTTCCCTCGACAACGTCGCGGGCTCGAGATATGCCACGACCTTAGACCGTCCTCTTCGAAGCGGCAGACACGATATCGACCGCTTTGTCTGCTTTGCGACAACAACGACAACAACAACAACAGAAGATAACAAAGACACGTGCACAATGGCTTTCAACCGCGCGAACCAGCCGAGCTTCAATCTCTTCACTGGGGTTGAACAGTCGCCGCCGCCGCCAGAGCCAATGCGCCAAACCTTCCGCAACACGTTGCGCGCCTCGACAATGACGAATGCGCCGCACACGGTCGTCCCCGACAACCCCGTCAACGAAGATCTGCGCGCGCAGCTGAACGCACTACGATATGAGCTCGAGACAGCAAAGCAGGAGAAGGCCATGCTCAAGGTCGAGCTCGACCAGGAGATTAGAGACGCACAGAGCCGCGCCGAAACCGAGTTCCGCAAGGCGCAACAGGCAGAGACCGCGAATGTCCAGACGGCGAACAAGTACGAGGCGCTGTCCAAGGAAATGACCGAGGTGCGAACGCGTGCCGAGAACGAGCGACGAGATCTCGAGAGGCGGCTGCGGCAGAGTCAAGAGAAGGCGCAATCGTTGCAGGAGGACTGTGATGAGGCCAGGGAGGACCTGGCATCGTCGCAACGGCAGAGCGAGCACAGATACAACAACCTGCAGGCTGAACACCAGCGGCTGAAGGACAGCATCGAGGAGGTCCAGACCGACCTGGTGTCCAAAGTCAGTGCGCTGCAGGCGGCGCAGAAGAAGCTGGGGGAGCGGGAAGAGGAGGTCGGGCAGCTCGAGGCCGAAGTCCTGCGACTCAAGGCTATCACAGGAGATGCCGAGACCCTTACTATCATCAAGAGGGAGCTCTCCGATCAGGTTGCGCATATCCAGAAGCTGGAGGCTTTGACACGCGAGCAAAATACCGAGCTCAGGAACTTCAAGAAGCAGCACAAGGCCATTGAGGTTGTCGAAGAGGAGAAGCGCACACTGCAAACGAAGCTGGGGATGATGGACGACCTGCAGAGACAGCTAGGAGAAGCTGAGTTGCGAAAGCAGATTCTCGAGGAGGAGCGCGACTCGTGGACTTCGTATCTCGAATCTGAGGCCAATGAGAACGGACAGCAACAGTTTGAGACGCCCGAGGATCTTGCGCGAGCCTTCATCCAGGAGCGGATAGATAAGGCGGACCTCCTGAACAAGCTGGGCGAGATCAAACCCGAACTGACTGTAAAGGAGGCCAACATCCAGGCGTTAGAGGACGAGAAAGCCAAGTTGCAAGCTCAGATCCAGCAGCTCAAAAGTTCTGCGACAACGACCAGCGCACCCAGCGCGAAGGAGGCACAAGCTCGCGCGAGGCTCGAACGTCAAAAGGCGTTGGCAACGAAAGAGGTGGAATTCCTGCGCGCCCAAGTCAAGGCCTTCGACGACGAAGAGCGCGAGATGCAGCCAGACTCCTACGACGCAGCAAAGTCTCAACGGATAGCAGAGCTCGAGGCTCTCGTCGATGAACACCGCAAGGAGCTCGACGCGCTCCAAAAAGAGTTCGCCAGCATCGAAAAGCTCGATCCTACAGCGACACCCATCACGGGTCAAAAGCGCCCTCTGCCCACGGACGAAACCGACGAGCGCGTCGGCGAACTGCGCCGCAAGAACCGACAGCTCACCGACGACCTCTCCGAGCTGGAGAAGAAACTCAAGCTCATCCAAACCGAATACAAAGCGCAGCACTCGCAACTCAAGAAACTCAAAGAAAGCACACGCACCCGCGTCCTTGAGCTCAAGTCCAACCCCACCGCCGACGCAGAGGCGCTCAAGCTGTCCACCGTCCGCACACTCCGCGCCGCAAACACCCAGCTCCTCGCACAGCTCGAGGCCCAGACACCACCGCCAAAGTCGGTGCCCTTCGCCACCTTCGAAGCAGCACAAGATGAGATGGAGGAGCTGCGGCACTCGCTCGCCTCGTCCGAGAAGAAGCAGACACGCCTCAAGCAGATTTGGGCCGCCAAATCCCTCGAGTTCCGCGAAGCCGTGGCCTCAATCTTGGGGTGGAAACTTGATTTCATGCCCAACGGGCGTGTCAAAGTTACCTCGATGTTCAAGCCCGCGGATGACGAGGGCGAGAACAGCATCGTGTTTGATGGCGAGAACGGCACCATGAAGGTCAGTGGCGGCGAGCAGAGTGTGTTTGCGGGCGAGATCAGGGATCAGATTGTCTACTGGGTCGAGGGAAGAAAGGAGATTCCGTGTTTCCTTGCGGCGCTGACGCTGGAGTTTTGGGAGCGCGGGCCCGGCGCGGAGATGACTATGAAGCTGTGAGAGAGCTAAGACGGTCAGGTCATGATGCACGCGCATTGCATGGCGATGGAGACGTATCATGTCAGAGCGAGATATATGTCCCTGGTCGGATTTACGACTCAACATACAAAGCCACAACACACCCTTTGCTCTTCATCATTCCCGTTGCACCTTCCTCCTCACCACCCTCCTCGCCCTCCCCACACCACCCTGCACCGCAGCCTTCCCGACCACCCTCTCATTCCCGCAACTCCCCTTCTCAGGCCCACAACTCAAGCTCCCCCGCCTATCCCTGCACGTCCCGCAAACCCCCGCGCTGCGCTGGCGCCGCCGCTTCATCCGGTTCGGACACGCGCATGGCTCGAAGCTGTGCAGTTCCGCGTGGCTGCAGCGCGCGTATCGGACGCGAAGCGGGGCTGTGCAGGTTTGACATGGTGAGACGAGGGTGTAGCACATTTGTCTCGGGGTGGGGGGGTAAGATGAGAGAGGATGGGGTGGTGGTGAACTTGAACGCGGAGGTGCAAATTGAATAGGGGAACGATGATGTCGAGCGCGGAAGATGGGGTGTGTGTAGAGCGTTTGATGGAGTGGACGCGATGGTATGTTATTGAAGTGTGGACTTGTCGTGGACATCTTATGGATAATGGTGTGCGTGGGTGCGAGACTGGCTTGACGCAAGACGTTTGCCAAACGAGATTGTCTGATGCGAGACCCCGTCCCATTGACGCAGGTGCGTATCCCGCCAGACTTTGTCTTTTGTTGTGCTTCTGCTTTGTGTCGCGCTTTGTTTGTCAAATGTCTCAATGCAAGACAGTAGCGTCCTGGCCGCTTCCAACCTCGCACTCGTGCAGCTATGTCATGTGCTCGTACAGAATGGCTGATTCATCACCGTATACCTTGCCCAGCCTCGCGTTCCGCTCGCAGCGCTGGAGCTCGGCGGTCACGGCGCGGAGTTGCTGGAAATTAGCATCGCGGGTGCGTCCCCAGTCGCGAGCAGCAGCGGTAAGAAGATGCCGCTGGCGGATCCTCAACAGGGCGTCGCTGTAGATCGCGTCGTTCTCGTCCGCCACATCCATGGCCTGGGCTTCGAGACATCGGCGGCAGTCCTGGGCGTGGCGGATGCGACCGCGGTCGGTGCAGAATGTGTGCGTGTTGGTGTGGCTCGACTTCAACACACGAGCCGAGTTGGTGTGGCTCGACTTCAACACACGAGCCGACGACCCACTGCGCGAACTCGACGACGAGGTCTGTACGGGTACCAAATATATAGCCAATGCGGCGGTTGGGATGATGACGCCGTGGTCTCCGGAGTCGTGCTGGTCGTTTCGCAGTTCGAAGTCGGTGAGGGTGGACTTGATTCGCTACAGGAGGCACCATGGTAGAACGTGCTGAGTCGAAACACCGAGCATGTTCAATCTATGGCTATAGCAGAGTCGTTCGAGCGAGGGGAATATCTTGTGGGTTTGGTAGTGTTGGAGCCAGGATTCGAGACCACCTGGTTCCATTTCCCCAGCGGATCTGGCAGACAGGTACAGCACTCTCAGTCCGTTTGCGTATTTCAGAAAGCCGGCGAGATGGATGGCTGTGTAGACGCTGAAGTCTCTCAGCCCTGCCCATGCTCCTTGTCGGCCCCAAGACCGTAGGTCACGATATGTAAAGATCTCAGACCTGGCAGCAATCAAGAAGGTGTGCAATTGTGGGAATAGTGCTGTGAAGAGTGTCTTTTCCACCTGTTCGGACGCTGCAGCTGGCTCGACGTAGCCAAAATCGCTGATCCGTAGCGTGTCCAGGGCGAGACATTTCTAAAGGGCAACGATGAGGTCGTGTTTGAAGCCTCCGGCCAGGTGAATCTGAAATGGTGCTCGGCTCAAGAAGTGTTCCCCTGTACAGCTCTATTCTCAATTTGGGAAGGTTCACATCTTGCAAGAACTCAAGCGGGAGCTTGCCGCATTCCGCTGCACGGAGAGTCTGCAGTCTGGTGATCATAGTTCTCGTAGTGCATCTTGCCGGGACCTACGAGCGTCAGTGTTCGCACGAAGCGCTCGATGTTAGACCGTCCTGTCAGGCGCTTCAGGATAACGAGACTCTGTTTGTCGCTAAGATCGGTTATCACGTCCCGATATATCCACGGTAAACAGGCAAGATAGCAATGCCTGTTAGCCGGGCATAAGCTGAGGAGATCGTGTTGGTTTTCGAAGAAGATCTCTCCAACTATGAGATAACGTATGCCGTAGTTGAGTCTGCCGGTGTCGAAGGAAGTAAGTATAATCCCGTCTTCTCCTAAAAAAGAGCTGGATCCACCAATCGCGAATGCCTTTCGTTGAGGATGGAAATCCTCTCCGCAGCTGCAGATAGGCTGATCATGATGGCCTGGGAAGCGTCTGAAAGGTGTCATAACGCGTAGAGAAACGTGGAGAATGAAGACAATGTAGATTCAAATGTGCTGAGGACACATGAAAAGGGCACTGTGCGCCAATCGCCTCACCTCATCCAGGGTACAGTCTGCGACCCTGAGCCCAAGTCTCTCCATGACCCTGAGATCAGACTCTGTTGCCTGTCTACTCAGGCGTGGAGCCATCGTCAAGAGACTTCGAGCTATGACAGACCTGCCATACTGTGGAAGCTAGTAAACTCTCACAAACCCCAGTTCGCGTAAGTGCATGCTCTCAACCCCCAAGGTCTCAGAGAAGTATGCTTCTGATCCGCTCTCGCGGCCGCACTAAAACTGCTGAGAGTCCTCATAGTGTAGCGGATGGGTCTGGGAACGCTCGACTGTTGATGATAGCAACAATGTGGACTGGGGTGTGATGTTCGGTGATACCTAGGCATGCCACGAGGACCAATAGCGGGCGGGGCGACTCGCTGACCGCAAGAGAAGAGAACCTCGGCCCAATTCACGCGCCATGCAAACACCGAGCGACGACTCGTTCGAGAACATACCCTGCTATTGCCCTGGACTTCCCCATACCCACCGCGCCAAACATTTAAACACCCACACTCTTCCTACTCTTCTCGATTGTCCCTGCCTTATTTCTCGACTTCTCTCCCCCTTTGAAATCCGAATCAGGTTCCGATACCTGTTGCACCGCGCCGCCTCAAACATTCACAATGTCCGAGCAACTCACAACGAAGCAAGTCGCCGAGCACAACACAGTCGAGAAGGGACTGTACATCATCGTAGACAAGGATGTATACAAGATGGACAGCTTCGTAGACGAGCACCCGGGTGGTGCGAAGATCTTGAAGAGAGTGGGTGGAAAGGACGCGAGCAAGCAGTTCTGGAAGGTATGTTCGGCATTCGCTGTTCCACGTACGGCGCATAGCAAGCGATGTGTCTGGCTTGTGTTGTTGAGGGTGGATACTAACGCAGCTTACATAGTACCACAATGAAGGCGTTTTGAAGAAGTACGGGTCGAAGTTGAAGATTGGCACAGTTAAGGAGGAGGCCAAGCTATGAGCTGGTTGGACATACGAAATAGTACATTGCGAAGCTACACGCCTGCATTCTTTGCAATGCTATCAGTCCTACCCGACTTGCAAGCTACGTGGTCTTTTTGTTGAGTGTGCACAATGCTTCGTCTATTGCATGGCCAATACAGATGCAAGCATCTCTGTACCGAGCACATCGACCAGCATGAAATCACGGTGCACGTGTTGAAGGCGATGTGTTGCATGTCGTTCATTCTCCAACTTCTCTATCCTTCATCTCCAAATGTTTACTAGAAATTATTGACACGCTGTGCTATGCAAGACCAAAGACGAAGAAATCCAGGCTGTAAGTAGGTATAGTGCGTAAAATCCAACAAGCGCAAATGCCGTGGGTATCGTGATGCCGCGCAAAATGCAAAAACTGTGTGCTGCCGTTTCTCGTGTGTTTTATGTGTGTGCGTTGGTACTCAGAAGCAGGTCCATCGCGACTTCAGCTTGGGCCTCTGCGATCGCGAATTCTGAGTCTGGAGTCGCGTCATCTCCTTCTCGTTGATGTGACTTTCGATGACGTCCAGTCTGTAGCGTCGAACGGATCCAGCCTCCGACTGGTCTTTTTCGTAGAACTTCTCTGTTGGCCCCGATACACAGCGAGGGACTACTCTTCTGACTAGGCCTCGAAGACCGGTATTCTGTCTGTCTATCCGCTCGTAGTCCCGCTTGCGTGTGCTGGATGACGTCCAGTGTGTGGTAGTAGCTGGGATCGGTGCTCGTGCGCTCTCGATCTCTTGCAGTGAGACATGTTCCTCAACCATGACCATCTCGTCCATACTGAAACGGGGAGCTGCATTCGGGAAGCCGAGGTGTTCATGGGTAGACAGTGTTGGACTCGGTAGCGCGGAGTTGGCCTGATAGGATGGGTTTGAGAACAGGCTGCAACTGCGGAAGTGGAGTGCAAGTACATCGTCCACTTCCTGGCTTGAGGGCGACACGGCGTGAGAGCTCTTCACCCGGTAGTGGCGAGCTGGTCTTGAAGGATCCACGATGGTACAAGAAGTGCGCCGGGAAGATAATTTCGAATCATGGCCACGGCCTTTTGATCTTGATCTGCGAGTGGAATTTTCTGACGAGGAGGCCGAGCGATAGTTTGATGGGCGTGTCCGCTTCTCAGAAGCTGATCGGTGTGTAGACATGTTGGCTAGGTTTGAAACCCCAACTGAGTCTGAGACTGCCTTCGCCGTGCGACGGCGATGGCTTGCGGTGTTGCTCCTGTATAAGGATGATGTTTGCTCCTTTGATATTTTTTGAGGAGAGGATCCCATGACTCCACTGTCTATTCGATTCATTATCGATCCATAAAGAGGCGGTGACAGGTAGTGGGCCGTGACGTAGTATTCGAAATCCGAATTGGTCGTTGATTTGTTGATGAATACTGTGGTTTCGGCATCTTTTAGCTTCGTCAGTGCTGCGTCTAATCAGGAAGGTACCCGCGAAAGGGGCCTCACCAGCAACCAGTGCGGATACGAAACTGAAGAGAATCAATCTCTGAAGCACAAAGAAGGCAGAACGGAGTGCAGAAGAGGCCACAATACAAGGATGATATGCAAACGTAGGTAAATCAGATGATGCAGGCTACGGGACCCGCAACACTATCGAGCGAACCGGCGTGGTCAGTTGCAGCGTGGCTAGCCGAGATGTGAAGAAAGTCAAACGACGGAAAACGTAGATCTCGCGCTTCGATTGGCCCAGATTGTGCCAAACATCAAAAAGGGCGCGCAGAACATGCACGATCTTTGGCAGGAGCGTGGTCGGGCGGCGGGCGGCCTTTGAAGCTTGAGTTCACCGCCTCGAAATGGACCTCCGGGGTTGTAGAACTAGAGACCTGAGGGGCTTAGTTTCGGAATAAAACTGGAGAATGGTTGTCAAGGCTCTCGATGGTCGAAACGGACAATGACAGGTGGGCTGGGCATGTCAACCCCGTGAATTTGCTGAACTGGTGGGCTGAAGTATGATATCGCCCATTTTCACATGCGAATATGGCCATGGATATCGTGCCTTATCAGAGGGCCAAAAAAAGCAACGGAGATCACTTGGCCGCACTTGTGACAACCTTCTTGAGTGGACGAGGTTCGAGGCATGTCGGATTGCAGCCTCGCGCTCCATGTGGGCACACGGCTAGCATCCGCTGTGCAGGAAGGGCCGAATCATGTGAGAACGCCATCGATAGCGACACCGGGCCAAGATCACCTGCCTGTATATGGGCAAGACTTGCCGGGAATCTGTCAGTCCCCAGGGTCAAGTCCAATGAAGCAGTGACGCGCGACATCGTGGGCTGTAGCCTGTAACCGAGATATTGAAGACGGCAGAGAGCCACAGCCCATTTGAGATTTTTTAGGATCCTGCAGGCTCCTGCTCAACACACACAAGAGGCTGTGGGACTCTGACGGGAGCCGAAAAGCAGTCGAGACCCCTGCGTTTGTTGCACTGTGGTCGTCCGCTGCAGGCGCTGTGGTGGAACACACACGCGCCAAGGTTTCGCATGCAGATGATCGGGATGAGGGCGGCACCAATAATGACCTTGTCACGAGGAGATAACATCGAATCGTTTGCGCCCACGACGCAAGCGGTGACGACTCCGAATTTGCGGCCTGAGGCTTGTGTGGTGCTAAGTATTTGAGTGTACCGTACACGACTGCATGTGTCGACTCGAGTTCGTGAAAAGACTGGGAACCCTCACTGGATCTCGTGATAGAACCCCTCGATCAGCTCAGCCACATCTTCGAATGCTTCGAGGCAGTGCCAGTGACCGATACCCTTCATAACTTCGAGCTTCTTTTCGCTCGTACCCATCTCCTCGAACATCTTCTTGCAGCCCTCGAATGGTGCGCTCTTGTCCTCCTCGCCAGCCAGGATCAAGATGGGGATTCTGATCTTGCTGTAGTTCGGCGGTTTGGCATTGATAATCACACGACAATTGTTGCAGTAGCCAGCAGGGTTCTGACCAAGAAGGAGCTCTCGAATGAACGCCGATGCCAAGGGAGAAGCCTTTGATCCAACAGCTGCTTGAGGGACAGTATCAGCCATGGGCTGCATACCGTCTTTCTGAACAGCCTCAATTCGCTTCTCGAATACGGGGGTAACACCTTCGTTAGGGTACACTGGACCAATCAGAACCGCGGCAACGACTCGATCGCTGCATTCAGCTGCGAGATGAGCAGCTACAATGCTGTCCAGTGTCAGTGTAGTGACCTTGCTCTCGTGCAGTCGAAACATACCCGCCCATACTGTGGCCTACAACAATTGCTTTCGATACGTCGAGCGCATCGAGTATACTAATGATGTCGTCCGCGAGGCTCTGGATGCTCGACTGCTCGCCTGTGTATGGCGATCTGCCTGCACCATAGTTGTCGAAGATGATGCATCGGAATCCATTTGCACGTAGACGCTCTGCCACTGCATGGTAGTAGTTCTGTGATGACCCAAGGCCGTGCACGAAGATGAAGGTCTCCAGCACATCCGTGCCCTCCAGCTTCAGGTCTGCATAGTGGATCTTCTTATCGCCGATCTTGAGAAAAGGCATCGTGTCGGTCGAGAACTGAGGGTCTGAGAGTTGAAAGCTTTACTACGAGCTATATCACTGCTATTGCTTGTGGAGGCACCGTTCCGATCGGGGCTCATTCGGGTCGGATGCGGGTGATGTCACAGCTGAGCCAGCCCCACATCTAGGAAGGAACACATCCGCTGAAGGCAGCTGCGACATATATGCTCCAGCCTCATGATCTGTCAGGGGACACCTGCAGCTGATAAGCTATTCATGATATTGGAGCTCTTGCTTGTGATTCGAATCGAACTACCCCATATGCTATGTATTAGACCAGAATCCTCAGAACGCCGCCCCCGCTGCCAGCCATGTAGCTACTGCGTAGTAGTAATGGTGTGTATGCTGTACTTTGCCTTCACTGCCTCCTTGCACACCTCAAATAGCTCTGGGCACAGCGGGTCCGTTTGATCGTTAAGCAGCGTCCAGAGCAGTTGCGCCAGGCCTTCTCTTGTCGTCACTTGCTTCAATTCGTCTCTCAGGTTCTCCTGATCGGAAGACCGCCCTCGCTCTCTCGACCACATCTTGCCAAGAGAACTTGCCCGGTCTCTTCTCCTCCCATTTTTCAGGTCCATGGCTTTCTGCCTTTTCGCTGCCAGCATGATGTCTTCGCTCTCGTTCCACAGGGTGATCCGCCGGAAGAAGTGCTTCAGCGCCGCCTCCTCAAACTGTGTCCGCCATGACGATACCGCCTCTTCGAATTCCGGATCTGGGTATTGGTTACAGCCCCACTTGCGGAGGAAGTACTTGAATGTGCGGACCTCGCCGTTGGGCAGCGAAATGACCAACGACTCGAATGCGAACGGATCCTCAGGTGTCGACTGTTCCGCCGTTGGTGAGTTACTATGGTTCTCTGCTCGTAATGCGTCGTAGGCTTCGACTACCCGCGAGACTGCTACTTTCTTGTGTGCAGTAACGGCATCGGTTCCGTCAAAGACACTCGGTGGGGCTGTGAGTTGCTCTTTCGAGCGGTCACTGTTGTGTCTGTGCAGAAGCGAGTGGTGTCGCTTGACAGTCGCCATGGCAGCTGTCGAAGTCCGTTTGGTAACAACCTTGAGATTGGAGCTTGGTTTCCGAATACTATATCGCCAGATTCGTAGGCTCGGACGCTGTTCAATCCAGCGTTGAGCAAGCAGATGGAGTTGTGAGTGATCCAGTTTGGGCAATGGGCGGTGTCACAGCCACAGCATGTGTGTATAATATTGGTCTTGGAAGGGGAGACATCTATAGTTTCATGCAGGTTGACAGCGAATGCATGCTTTTCAATAAACGCAAAATGGAGATGCACAGTTACGCAATCTAGGCCGAGTATCCGCCTACTGTGCGAAATTCTAAGGATACGATGGGTGACCGGCAGCATTTGGGCCGTGAGACAAGGGGCTTCAAATCACCTCGGCCAATTGACGGTGGGCATTCGGCGAGCCACGGATCAAGCCACGGCTTTGAAGCCACTGTGGCCATCCGACTTTGCCGTTTCAAGGCTTAGCAACTCATGTTCGAAGTTTAGTACCCTGCGCCTTTTAACCCATTGGCTCGAGCTCCTGTTTGTTCAGAATGAGATCTTTGTGGCGCCCGTGGTGTTTACAGATCTTCGTGCTCCGTGCGTAGCGCCAAACGGCCCCGACATTGAGGGGAAACCTCCGGGCGCAACGCTTTGCTAAATCAAACCCATTACCAGTACATTCACGTGAGCATTCGACCCAGTCATGGGCTCACTTTGTTCGTGTTGAAAGAAAGGTTAACGCAACGGCTACAGATCTTTGTGTCGCATCCTGGAAACCGAACGTGTTTGAGACAGGGTTTACATTCAGCTCTGAAAGACGATCCGCGACATTGTCACTCACGAGAATATAAGTTTAAAACCATGACGCCAATCCACATCAAAGACCTTGTCGGAGACTGCGTGGCGAAAAAAGCCGCTACTAGTTTGCAATTGTACGCTAAAAGTATATAGGAGATGTGAACACGACTACCATGTGCTGACGAACTATCTCTAATTGTCGAGAGGGTAACGATCTAAGAACTTAAAAGTCTTGAGGCCCTCGGAGAGCTTCTCCACAATCGAGGCCGTGCCGTTTGAGCCGAATGCATAAACACCTGGGGTACCGGCCTGGACGCCGGCAGCGGAGAAGACCTGACTATCAGAGCCAACCACACCGACAGGCTTGCCCCACTTGTAGCCATCCTGAACAATTTGCAGAGGACGACCGGCAGGAAAGAGGGTCGAACGCCAGCTGGAAGTAGTGTTGGAAGCAGTGGTGTTGCTGTTGGCAAGGTTTCCAGGAGCCGCGAACAGAGCGCTGGAGCTGCCGTCAACAATGATTGCATCGAATTGGATCGCCGCAGTCGCGGAGTAGGTCTGGTCGATGCCATCGCCAAGGTGCTCGGCAACAACGGAGAAGCCAACGTTGACGGCCTTGAGAGCGGCCTTGAGGCTGGAGGCTATGTCGCGGCTGGCGGCGTTGGATGTCAAAAACCCAACCTTGAGGCCGTCAAGCTTCAGAAGGGGTGACTCGGCGACGCTGACGCCGATTGTAGTGTTATCGTGGTAGTAAGTATCGTCAGCCGCGGGTGCAGTCATGCCAATAGCTTCGGCAACACGGACGGCGACATCGTGACTAATGCGGTTGAGCTGGATGAGAACGTTGTTCTTGACGACATCACTCTTCAACTGAGAGACCTCGAAGCGCATAGCGTTGACGACAAACTGCTGCTCGACAGGAAGGAGCGAGTTGAAGAACAACCTCGGCTGCGACCAGACGTCGGCAAAGGTGGAGGACACAGAGCGTACAAGACTTCCTCCAGTAGAGCGGTTAGGAGCAGTAAAGAAGCCGCGGCCATCCTTTTGTGTTGCCTGCTTGGGCGAACCAGCATTGAGAGTGTTGGGAGAGTAGGCCGCTGTGTTGAGGGGAATATACATCTGACCAGCTCCATCACGCTGGTTGTTGTGGACCTTCACTCTGGGCTGGTTGATGGGCAACTGCTCAAAGTTGGGGCCGCCGTGTCGGTTCAGCTGAGTGTCCATGTAGGAGAACAGGCGTCCTTGCAGCAGGGGATCCTCGGAAAAGTCGATCCCGCGTACTACGTGGCCGACCTGGAACATGACCTGCTCCGTCTCCGCGAAGTAGTTACGAGGGTTGCGGTTCAATGTAAGCTTGCCAAGAGGCGTGAAGGGGACGATGTCCTCGGGAACGATTTTGGTCGGGTCGAGCACATCGAACCCCCAGCGCAACTGGTCCTCTTCTTCGAAGACCTGAGCCTCAAAGATCCACTCAGGGAACTGACCGTTCTCGATGCTCTCGAACAGGTCCTGACGGTGGAAATCGGCATTCAATCCTGCGGTGGCTTGAGCCTCCTCCCATAAGAGGGAGGCCTTGCCCTGCATTGTCCTGAACCTGAACTTGACGAGCTTGGTCTTGCCTTCATCGGTGACAAAACGGAAGGTATGCACGCCCCAACCGTCAATATGTCTGAAGGAACGGATGGTGCCGTGACCGCTCATTGCCCAGAAGAGGGTGTGCATGGAAGACGGCTGCTGGCTGAAGAAATCCCAAGCGCTGTCATGGGCAGTCGCGGCTTGTGGGATCTCGCTCTCTGGCTTAGGCTTAACGGCATGGATGAGATCTGGGAACTTGATGGCATCCTGAATAAAGAAAACAGGAATGTTGTTACCAACGATATCTGCCTATGATCAGTTTGCTGTATCACATTGATGACCTTCATAAGCTTACCGAAGTTGCCTTCGTCTGTATAGAAGCGGACAGCAAAACCGTGAACGTCACGCACAGTATCAGCTGATCCTCGACTGCCAGCAACTGTAGAGAATCGAATGAAGACCGGAGTCTCTTTGTCCGGGGTGCTCAAGAAAGAGGCACCTGTGATGTTTGACCAGTCGCCATAGCTCTGGAAGACACCATGAGCACCAGCACCTCGGGCGTGAACAGCTCGCTCAGGTACACGCTCGTGGTCTGAAGATAATTAGTGTCTGCGGATTGAAATTTCCAGGCATACTTACCAAAATGGGTGATCTTCTCACGGAAGATGAAGTCTTCCAACAGTGTAGGTCCACGCTCGCCAGCACTTAAGCTTTCCTGATCAGGAATTGGTCCTCCGGCGTTCGTAGTCATGTACACGTCTGTGTCATTGACTTCGTACTGGGCCATGAACTCGTCGGTCTTTGAGGGTACGCTGTAGGATCCATCTGCCCGCTTGACCTGAGGGTGACTGGCAGGCACGTCGCGAGTATCAGCTTCCATGAACGGACATGAAGCTTGTGCAACGTGTACGTAAGCAGCGAAAGCTGCAATGAGCCCGGATTTGACCATCTTGGCGGATGTAGTGGATGTACAAACGAGACGAAGCGTCGAACAAACAACCGGAGGCACAGTGCTTTATACACCTACACGTCCGTATTGTGGAGAGTAAGCCCCGTCAATTCACTGGATATGACAAGCTCCTAGTTCAGGAAAACACCAGTCGGATCGTCTCTTGCTCACCATTGAACAGTCCCTGATTTGATCAGCTGCCTGTTCTAGAGATGGGAGGCGCCAACTCGCCGGACCCGCTTGTGATTCTACAGATTGATTACTTGATCAAGTGTGAAAAGACCACCCCGAGGCTCGTGCCAGACCTGATCTGGTAATCAACCTGCCTATCACTTCCTGGCTGCCAATTCTGCTTGTGGAAAGACTAGGTTCATGCACGAAAACGGCCGCGTTACTATAAGGATATTATGAGCTGCGCAAGGACATCCTGGAATGACCAAAGGGAGCAGGTCGCGTGCTGCATGGTGGTTAAGGCGTACATTGTATCCTTCGAGGCGATACCGAGCGATTGGGAACACTCAGATAGACTCAGCGGCGTCGACAGCGACTCTTGGCAGCGTCGATACGCGTCTTGAGATGTGATCTTGCCGGGCTAAACTTCCGTCGTAAACTTGGTCGGAGCCGCCAGACACGCGTTCCAAGTCCTTGGAAGTGATATCAGATACGTCATCAGACCGTTCACTAAGCGGTAAATGATTGTATGATCATAGCTTCGTCTATCTCCAATCGTACGCTTCAGAGAACGAAGCATCGCCGAGCCAGAATTTGGCCGCTCAAATCGTGCAAGGTTGTTGTGAAGCTAAGCCGCTTGTCCAGTAAGAAGCTTTAGAAGGGAGGAGATCATGTCGTAGCCACCCAGGTGCAGGACACGGTAGTGCTCTTTGCCCGGCTATCCGTCTTGGTGTGGAGACGCAAATCCCAACAACATGCGATTTCAGGATGTGAAAGTCTCTTGTGAATCAGGTACGGTGATGGCCCAGAAGCTCAGAAGTTAGTAATGTGCACTGATCGGTGGCGCCTCAACAGCCAAGCCAAGGCGAATATTAAAGTTGAGCAAGCTGATCCTGGGCAGCCCTGCAGTGCAACATTTCGGTTGATGCACTACGGGCACCAAGAGAAACTTTTTGGTGGAGCAGCAGGGATGCTAGTAGTAGTCGCTGTCAATAGACCCAACATGATTTGTCAAGATGGTTCATTACACTTCTGAACAACAAGTACTGGCAGGATAGAGTAAATTTCAAGAGCAACTCCAGCAATCTGTATGTCAACATCCGGATAGAAGGACAAAAGGCCTAAGCTGCGCGTTCATTAAAAACCCGATGCGACCAGCTCTGGACAATATGCTGAGCCTAACACGGTGTCACGAAGTTCTTTTTCAGAACTTCTGGGATGAGAAGCAAACGAGGAAACGTTCCGCGACTGCAAAGATCGTCAGGAGTGTCCAGTGCAGATATGGTTAGCACAAGACCCTATCATCTGTTGCACTACAGGGCACGGAACATTCACGAATGCCGGCCACAGCCAGCGACAACGGTCCCGCCCTCTGTGCCCTCGGCAGATCGAGTGAGTGTCACGTTACCTAGTCGAATGCTCCATCACGACCACCACGGGCCGAATGACTCTTGACGGATTTCGAGAGCAGCGATTAGTTGCTGTATTCTCACATGATGGTCCACAGCTCTGTAGCAGTCAATTCCCCATCGCATGTCGCGCAAAAAGCTTCTCTTGTTTTCTGGCATCTCACAATGGATCTTCTCATCTTCTCGCACCGGACTAAGTTTCTGCTCACTTGTCGAGTGGCTAGATAAAGGTAAGTGCAAGGCTTCCAAATCAGAGGCATGATTAACCGTGCGTCCAGTGTAGCTTTCTCGTGCTAGGTTGGAAGAGGCATGCGGTACGGTTCGGGGCGAGCACCCTGGGAGTTACATGGGCCTGGTCTATTACGAGCATTTCCGGGGTAAATGTTCTCGGTCAAAGTCTCCTACCGCAGCCAAGCTGCCGCGATATAATGTTTTGTTGCACCGAGCACTTTATGCGCCCGCAGGGTCTGAGAATGCAGGGCTTCATAAGCCGCTTTTTGTAACTTGGGATGGGAAGATGATACGTCTGAATCTGAGCCTGCATCTTGATGGCCGTATCGTGGATGTGGCGAAAGCGATGTCTCGTGGTACAATGAGCCAATGAGTTGTGGCTAGTGCAGCGCAGCTTCCGGCATGGGTATGACGTACCGGCCATTCCGCGATTTCCTGGTCCATCGAGACCCCCCGCCTCGACCTCGAACAGACGCATTCTCCGACCCCAGCATCACAAAGATTAGAGCGTCGAGTGATTCAAGGGCCCCACCTTGATTTCCAGAAAGGTAGCTTCGACATCTTGTCAGTCATTCCTTTCCGTCCGAGCCGATGCTGCGCATGCGCGCAATCCCTCGCGTTCAGCAACATGGCTTACGAAGTGGATAAACAGCATATTTCAAAGAAGAGCAAACACAGAGATCCGCCAAAATGTAAGTTCCCTCATGTCTCTTGTCGCAGCTATCGTCCACCATCGCCCGCTACTCCACCTCATTTCCTACGCTTTGTTCAGCATCATCTACACTGCCTCAAACTTCTCGACCTGGCGCATTCGGCAGTTACTATACATCTATACGACCGGCATACCGTAGCACCTGCCGTTTCTCACCTATTGAGATTTCTCACTAACTATGCTGGCTGCAGGAACCGATCACTTTCGGTCCGGTCCAAGAAGGCCAGTTCCGGCGTCTCCGAGAAGCAGCCGTCAAAGCACCGCTTTACGATGGCATCTCTGCGCGGCACACAGCAGCCGGAGCTCTCGAAGAAGCTGTACAAGATTATCAAAACCGAGAACCATGTGATTGGCGCTCACGAGTCCGCTGCGCGCGAGCAAGTCAGTGTTGCTAGACAACTCTCGGAATGGGGCGAGGCAACCGAAGATGAGACAATATCAGAGGTGTCAGACAAATTGGGTGTGCTTATGGCGGAGATTGCAGAACAGGAGGATCTCTATGCACAAGCCTTGGAAGACTACCGAGGAGTCTTGAAGCAGATTCGCAACACCGAGAGCTCAGTGCAGCCCAGCCGAGACCACAAGGCTAAGGCCAGGCCCCCAGTCTATTCGATGGTGTGATAGTACTAACAGGAGTTCAGATCTCTGACGAGATTGCCAAACTCAAATACAAAGAGCCTCAGAGCACCAAGATTGTTCAGCTCGAACAGGAACTTGTCCGCGCCGAGGCTCAGAGCTTGGTGGCGGAGGCGCAACTGACCAACATTGTATGTTCCATAGAGCCGCTTGGGTTAGAATAGCTCACTGACCATGTGCAGACACGTCAAAAGTTCAAGGAGGCATATGACCAGTACTTCGCAGCTACGATTGAGCGTGCTGAAAAGCAGACCATTCTGGCGAAGCATGCTCGTCGACTTATCAACCTCGTTGACGACACCCCCATTGTTCCCGGAGATGCGCATCCTCCTTTCGCAGGCGCAGAAGAGTCCCGTCAAGTACTGAATGATGCGGAAGACGACCTTCGCAACTATCAGTTGCATGTTGAGCCTATCACCTCTAACGCTGGCAACTTGGGCGTGGGAGCCATGCCTGGAGCACCAGTTGGTGGCGCGTCTTTGCAACAGACTGCACAGTACGCGAACACGGTCGGCACGAGTGAGGATGGCGGTTACGCAGAGTCGAGCGTGCAGGGCACCGACGTCGGAAGCCAGCCTCCGTACCCTGTGTCAGAATCGGAGAGACTGGAGCAGCAGCAGGCTGACGAGATGAAAGCCACTCAGCAGCAGCCGGTCTCGTTCCAACACGTTGCCTAAGTCGGGATGTGCTGAGACGTTGCCACGTTTGGTTGCTTGCTCGGAATGATATGCTGGTAGCGTTCGGTACGGTTGTGTCTTGTGACCATCTGGTCGATTAATGTTTATGTAGAGCTGTTTTTAATTGTAGCTTCTTACCCCCGAGTTCTTGTTCATTTGACGACGGTATGCCACGTGAGCACGAGCAGAGACGACACCTGGCGTCTGTGGGAGTGAATATGTCATCATATATCTCCAACTTGCAATGTTGGCTGCCTGGTCGGAAAAACAAAGAGACAAAAAGGTGCTCTTTGCCTCGAGGTGGTGTACTTAAAGACGCCTGTGCGCGTGGGTTTGGCGGGGAGCTTCTAGCGCGCGGAATGCGGCGACCCAAGAAGACACATCGAGCTCTACACCGTCACTTCTGTATCTAAGTAGCCTCGACCACAGCACCGCACACCCCCACGACCGCGTCTTTGCTCGAAACTGCACCGCCACCGGGGCTCTGCTACACTCACCATGGCGGACAATCGCAAGAAGAGGGACAGATATGCGGGCGCCGCATACGAGTTCGGAGCCAACTCTGGAGTGAACCAAGGCGGAGCTGCTCCCCCTCCGCCAGGCACAGTGCCTGGCTATGGAGCACCTGCGCCTGGCTATGGAGCACCTGCGCCTGGCTATGGCGCCCCAGCTCAAGGATACGGCGCTCCGGCACCATCATACGGACAGCCCGCATCGCCATATGGACAGCAGCCCGCGTACGGCCAGCCTCCTGCCCAGGACCCCAACGCACTCGGCCAGCAGTTTGGACAGATGAACCTGGGCTCCCAGCAAGGACAAGCGGTGCCGCAGCAGCAACAACAACAAGCGACCGCGGCGTCGCAGAACCAGTTGTTCCCCTCCGACCTGATTGCCCAGCCCTTCCACGTCTCTGAGCTCTACAACCCCCCACCGCCCATCAACCTCCCCGCGAACGCCGCCGCTACACCCTCCGAATTCGCGAACGAGTCGAGCAAGTACTTGCGCTGTACTCTGAACACCATCCCCACCAACCATTCGTTGCTGAAGAAGAGCAAGCTGCCGTTTGCGCTGGTCATCAGCCCCTACGCCAGCCTGCACGATTCAGAGGACCCTGTGCCCGTGGTCCACGACCAGGTCATCAGCCGTTGTCGACGATGCAGAGCATACATCAATCCCTTCGTCTCTTTCCTCGATCACGGACACAGGTGGAGGTGCAACATGTGCAACCTGACCAACGACGTCCCTCAGGCTTTCGACTGGGATGCAGCACAGCAGAAGAGCGTTGACAGATGGCAGCGTCCCGAGCTGAACTACGCCGTGACCGAGTTCGTTGCGCCGCAGGAATACATGGTCAGGCCGCCGCAGCCGCTGTGCTACTACATCTTGCTGGACTGCACGCAGGCTTCTGTGAACAGCGGTCTGCTTGCAGTTGTCTCGCGGGTCATCAAGGAGGCGCTGGAAAGGATACCGAATGCCGACGGCAGGACGCGCATTGGATTCATGGCCGTCGACTCGAGTCTGCACTTCTTCTCCATTCCTCCGGATGACAGCGAGAACAACGATGCCCACCAGCTGGTCGTCTCTGATCTGGACGAGCCCTACCTGCCAATGCCCACAGATCTGCTCGTCAGTCTGAGCCAATGCCGCAACAACATCGAAAACTTCCTCGACCGCCTTCCCGCCATGTTCCAGAACACACACGTCCCCGGTTTCGCGCTTGGCTCTGCCCTGCGATCGGCGCATAAGCTGATCTCGCCGCTCGGAGGTAAGATCACGGTCATCGGTGCTTCACTGCCAAACGTTGGACACGCTGCATTGAACCCAAGAGAAGACAAGTCTTTGTTGGGCACTGGAAAGGAAGCCAGTCTCTTGCAGCCAGCTAACAACTGGTACAAGTCGTTTGCCGTGGAATGCTCTAAGAATCAGGTCTCGGTTGACATGTTCCTTTTCTCCTCGCAGTACCAGGATGTTGCAACACTCAGCAACCTGCCTCGATTCACGGCCGGTCAAACATATTTCTACCCTGGATGGAACGCTGCTAGGCAAGAGGATGTTGTGAAGATTGCAAAGGAACTGTCCGACTACCTGTCTGCAGAGATTGGCCTTGAGGCTGTTCTTCGTGTGCGTGCCACAACTGGTCTGAGGATGTCTGCGTTCTACGGCAACTTCTTCAACCGCTCCTCGGACCTGTGCGCTTTCCCTGCCTACCCTAGAGACCAGGCTGTTGTGATCGAGGTCGCTATCGATGAGACCATCAGCAAGCCATTTGCCTGCCTTCAAGCTGCTGTGCTTCACACAACTTCGAGCGGTCAGCGCCGTATAAGGGTTCTAACACTCGCTGTGCCAACCACAGAAAACCTTGCAAATGTCTACGCTTCGGCCGACGCTCAAGCTATCACCACCTACTTCACTCACAAGGCTGCTGAGCGTGCTTTGTCGAGCGGTCTGGACGCTGCTCGCGATGCGCTGCAGAGCAAGATCATTGAGATCCTGCAGACCTACAGGAAGGAACTGGCTGGTGGCAGTATGGGTGGCGGTGGCCTTCAGCTGCCTCAGAACCTCCGTGCTCTGCCCATCCTGTTTTTGGGTCTCATTAAGAACGTCGGTCTCCGTAAGAGTGCACAGATTCCTTCCGATCTGCGCTCAGCTGCTCTTGACCTTCTGTCGACACTGCCCCTGCGCCTGCTGGTTCAGTACATTTACCCGGCCTTCTACAGTCTTCACGTAAGTTTGCAAGTCAGCATCGCGAATAGTTGCTAACAATTATAGGACATGCCTGATGATGCTGGTACCCCTGACCCCACAACTGGCCACGTCACAATGCCTCCTCTGATGAACCTGACATCACAGTCCATTGTTCCCTTCGGTCTGTACCTGCTCGATGACGGTGTCAATCAGTTCCTCTGGATCGGCCGCGACACTGTCCCCGCTCTACTGGGCGACGTCTTCGGTGTTGAGGACCGCACACAGCTCAAGCAGGGCAAGGCTTCTCTGCCAGTGATCGACAACGACTTCTCCGAGCGTGTACGCGCAGTCGTCGAGAAGTCTGGAGACCACAAGAGCAAGGGTGTTGGAAGCATTGTCCAGCCTTCGCTGTACATCATTAAGGAGGATGGCGAGCCAAGCTTGAAGCTTTGGGCTCAGACATTATTGGTAGAGGATCGCGCGGACCAGGGCGAGAGCATTATCCAATGGATAAGCAAGCTGCGTGAGAAGGTGAGTCGAAGCTACAGAAGAAGCTTTGGAATGATGACTGACACGTGGCTTCTAGGTTGTCCAGTAGACGTAAAAACCGCGTTATGTCAAAATGTAGCTTGTAATGACTTGGAATGGCGTAGGCGAGTTGGAAGTCACAGTCGACTTGGGTGGTGGGTGGACTGTCACGAGCATGGCCATAGAGCGTTAGCCAGCTGCATGCTCGCAATAGACGCAAATGAAACAGCTCTTGATGATTCAATGTGCCACTATAATGTAATCGCGCTAATGTGATATAGATCTCGATACAAGCATTGGACGCTCGCACCTTCTCACAGCTTAGCTCGACTCTCAATGCCAAGTGGCACATCGTCCTTCGCCCTCTCCTTCAACAACCGTCTCAAAATCTTCCCGCTGGCACTCTTCGGCACCTCAGCCACAAACACAATCCCACCTCTCAGCCTCTTGTGATTCGCAACCTTGCCCCCGATCCAGTCCACAATCGCTTTCGCCTCGTTCTCGCCGGGCTCTGTCGAACCCAAGCCCTTCGCAGCAACAACGTACGCCCGTGGCACCTCGGTGTGCATATGCTCGTCCTGCACACCGATCACCGCGACGTCCTCGACGCCCTCGCTATCCATCAGCTTGCCCTCGAGCTCGGCGGGCGCGACCTGAAAGCCCTTGTACTTGATGAGTTCCTTGACGCGATCGGTGATGTAGAAGTTGTGCTGCTCGTCCTGGAAGCCGATGTCGCCCGTCTTGAAGAAGCCATCGTGCGTGATGGAGGCGGAGGTCGCGGCGTCGTTCTTCCAGTACCCCTTGAATACGTTGGGACCTGAGAGCCATAGTTCGCCGACTTCGCCGGGCCCCAGCTCGGCGCCGCTGCTGGATATGTATTTTGCAAGCATGCTGGGGAACATCTTGCCCACGCTGCCTACGGAGGTGTACCATTCGTCCCAGGGCTGAGGATGTGTTAGTCACATGGTCAGTCAAGACAGGGAGAGGGGAGGGGGAAAATATACCTGTGTATGTGTCATTGGGCTCGTCTCACTCAGGCCATACGCCTGATTAATCTTGATGCCGAGTCTCTTGTGCACGGCATCGACGAGTTCCTTTGTCAACGGCGCGGCGCCGCTCGTGATCATCTTCACGGACGAGAGGTCGTACTTGTCCACCATCTTGTCTCGTGCCAACCGCACAATCACCGGCGGCGCAACGTATATGAACGTGATGCGGTGCTCTTGGATCGTTCGCAGGAACGTCTCCATATCAAACGCCGGCATGACGACCAGCTCAATGCCCCGGTGCAGCATCTGATGCACCAGCCCTGTGAGCCCGTAGATGTGAAAGAACGGCAGTACACCGAGGAATTTGTCATCCACGGAGGTATACCAGCGGCCGACACTGCCCTTGATCTGCATAAGATTAGCCACGATGTTGCGGTGCGTGAGCATCACGCCCTTGGGCAGCCCCGTGGTGCCGCTCGAGTACGCGAGGAAGGCGAGATGCTCTGGCTTTGCTTTCCTGCGGCGGTACCGCAGCGCGCCCGAGGTCTTGCGGATATTGCTCCAGTGCTTGACGCGGTGCGAGGCGTCGCGCTCCGCGCCGAGGAGGATGACGCGGTCCTCTGGGATACCGACTTTGCGCGCCGCTTCCAGCGCGGTCGAGAGGAACGCTTTGGTCGTGACGAGCGCCCTGGCCTCGCTGTTTTGCAGTTGGTATGCGAGTTCGTCAGCCGAGTAGCCTGGGTTCGCTGGCGTCACGATTCCGCCCGCAAAAAAAGTCCCGTAGATGATTGGCGGGACGTCGATGTCGTTTGGCGTGTACAAGGCGAGCACTTCGTTTCTTTGCCAGTCCCAGAGGTTGCAGAGGCCCTCTCCGAAAGCTGTCGCGTGGGCCTTGACATCGGCGAAAGTGTACTTGCGGTCTGAGCCGACGGCGCGGTACAGGACCTTGTCGTCTGCGAAATCCTGGTCCTTGCGGTCGAAGATCAGGCCCCAGAGATCTGTATCTGGGATCTCAATATCCGGGAATGGCGATTTGGTGGGCATGTTGTCCAGTAATCGCAGGCGCGTTGCAGGTTGACAGAAAGTTCGATTGAAGATCAGACTTTGTGTCAGCACCGAGTTGTAGATTTGGACCCGACAGGATGGTATCAGGCACCCAATACTTCGCTGTGACCTGCACGCAATCCAGTAAGAGCGATGCAGCTGCGTTCCATCTGCATGTGGCTCGACTCAGCTTCGTTTTGCGGGGAACCTCGGTATTCAGCCTCATGACGTCGCTCGCAGCCTCGCCCGTTGAACCGATGATCAATTAACTAGCGCCAGGTCGAAAATGCTGAACATTATCGTCGAGCTAATAAGGTGGGCATCAATGATACACTCAGCCCTAGAACCTATGCACCTTGATCGCAATAGAGTAACGCTAGAAAGCGCCGAAAGAAGCCGTAACCAGCGCCGTGCGAAATGACAGAGACAACGTATTGCATACACCGGAAAACAGCGTGCAAAGTACGGGAGGTTTGGTATCATCTGAACGTCGCCCACAACCTAGCCATCCAAAAGCTGATCATCAACTCCCTCCACATGGTATCCAGGTCCTCACTCAAGCGCACAGTCGGCACAACGCCGCTAGGCAGCAGCTGGAGCCCTTCTGTCGCCAACAGTCTGCCAGCTGTGTCTCTCCACTCAAAAGGTTCGGTAAGGCCGTCTCTCTCCACAGCTCCACTCTTCGACTTGCCCTTGCTGAACAGTCCACCCCCAGCGCTGACCTTCCTGCAAGTAATGATCTCCCTTACGGCAGAGTTTGGCCCGGCGATGTGTCGAATGTGCCACGTTTTCCAGCCAAAGGTAATTTGTAGTGTGCCACCGTAGCAGTGCGGTTTTTTGCCCACCATGTAGTATTCGTTCTCGCGAAAGGGCGGATCTGAGATCTCGTAGAGGGTTTGGGCGTGGTCGAAGTGGAGAGGTACCTCGTGGGCGAGTTGAAGCTCGGAAGCGCGCAACCGTCGTATTCGCAAAGGCGAGTTGAACGAGTCAAGAGGGGACGAAAGCTGGTAGACGGGACTGGTAGGTGTGTGGATGAATGTGCTGTAGAGCAGAAACTCGGTGTTCTTGGGATCTATAGTATCGTAACCGGGGAGCTCGTCTGCAGCAGGCGGCGACACAACTTCGCTGCGCGGTACATTTGTTGGAGGCGGCCCTAAAGGCACGGCTGGGATCGCACTTGGTGGTGGTCCTGGAGGTGGCGCGTAGCCGCTTGCTTCCGCATATGTTGGTATTGGAGGATCTTCGGCTTCTTGGAGTCGATCACGCGCTTGCGGCCTATGTGTCGTGCCTTCAAAGGGCGCTGTCTTTTCAGCCATCTTGTCGGGGAACGGCAGCGAGGCTTGCCGTATGTTGTGACTCGGCCGTGGTGCTGCGCGTTATTATTTGAGGCGAGGTGGTGACGTAGGCCGGAGCTAGAATGCTCAGACGTGGGGTGAACGGCGCGCCAAGTGCTCCCCGCCCGTCTCATCCGATTCGACAGCTGACAAAGATGCCGAAGCATGAGAAGTACAAAGTGATACAGGAGCCCTCCGCACAGTTGGACTTTTGATGTCGAGCTAGGCTGTGAGCTCACAAGTCGACAGTAGAACACCTAGGTAGGCTTTCTCGGCGCCAGCAAGCACATGTCATGCGCTTCGGGGCTTTTTGTGTACCAGCCTTCATCGATCAAGGTTGTCTCCTTGTCTCTCCAATCATCAATCTTCTCTGCAGACTTGAAGTCGAGGTCCGCGAGCTTGGATGTGATATCGCCATCATGGACCGGCACCACCACGAACAAAGAGCAATCCCGTAACGTCATTGCAAGGCGAAGGTCGTACACGAAGTTGAAGTCGTCACGGGGGCGTGCATAGCGCTGCAGTATACCTTCTGAATCCAGGGTTGCTTGAAGCTTCTTCAAGTGGAGAAGCAGCCTTCGACCATCGCCCGTGGTGAAGTAGGTGACTACGCGATCGACGAGCGTATCGAGAGCTATCTCCTGTGGCAGTTGGGCGTTCGTGTTGGTTCGAAGTTGTACTGACAGTGCATTTGTAGCCCAGCGTCGGATGTGAGCTACATCGGCGTCCGCAGCGGGGTCCTCATTGCTCAATCGCAAGGGGCAGATGTAGTCAACCGGTATGCCTTTCCCTCGCGAGAACTGTAGCGCGCACGTTCGGCATCGGATCGCATCCGGTGGTGCTGCTGGTGACTGTGCTAGCCACTTGGGCTTGATCTCAAAAGTGATGTTTTGGCCCGACTCGGTGGACATGTCTGGTAGTAGGATGCCAAATTGGGCTGCGCCACTCAGCGATTGGATAGCTGGGACCATAGTCTTCAGTGCGGACATGCCTTCGTCAAATAGCACCACAGGAAGATGAGCCATGAGATGCTGTTCAAGGTTGATCTCCTCAAGAGTCTGATTGGTCCCAGTCGCGGTTCTGGGCGACACGAACAGTGGTCGTACGTCTGCCATAAAGCCGTCGACGATGACTTCTGACCTGAGGCTCTTGGGCAGGCCTTTGCTGACCCTGAGCACCTTGTCAAGCACCAGCTTGGCTGGTATTACTGTTGCAATTTTCCCAGAGTCTCTGACGGCAACGAACAGGAAGCCGCTTGCATTCTTGACGCTTTGGTGGGGCTGTATGCTGAACACCGCATTCGCTGCCCCTTCGTTCAGCCTTTGGAAACAGACGAAGAATTGTTGCAGGTCCTTGGTCTCCCTGCGCATACAGCATAAGGCGCTGGGGACGTCAAGCGAGTGGAAGCTCTCGACTTCTTTCTGTGTAAGCACAACTGACACGGGGCCCTCAGTATCAGTACTTGGTTCGAGATGTGGCAACAACGAATGTGACGGCTGACGTCCATGGCGGGCAGACCCTTGCGGGTGAGGCTTGTAGGACACTCCGCCGGCTGGATGCAGCTCGAAATGGTGGTTGGCGAGAAGATGAGCGTTCGACAACCGAGTGTGCAGGACGTCCAGATCGGACAATTGAGAAGGCGGTCGCTCTTGAGATGCTGTTGACGGTCCAGTAGAGGGAGTCGTAGAGCCTTCCACCTGATATCGTAGGTGAGCGTTGCTTGCTCGCGCTGCTTCTGCTCCTGCAGAATGTGAATGAGACTGCACTCTTGCTGGGGGTGGCTCGTGCATGTCATTGCCCGGTCTTGAGGTAGAGCGCTCAGCTTTGCGCGGCCATAATAATGTGCGGAACTTGTCGAGGGTTGGCGAGGATAATGGCATGATAGGCTGGAATGCGTTCGTCTTGTCGCATCCCGGGAGTGTGTTTGTCTTGTTGCGTCCCAAGCAGCAGCATTACTCTTGCCTCGAGCGATCAGGTGCGAGGTATCCGCAACGTTTTCAGGAGAACAACAGCGATGGTCTCCGTGCAGTCTTTGCAGCCTTGGGGATATTCCGTGATCCGAAGTACCCAGCTCTTCAAAAGCTTGTTGTCCCCGGCTCAAAGCTCGGGTTCTATGATCTCTTGCTGTTGGCAGCCAATGTCGTGGCGCCGACCTGGTTGCAGCGATGACGTCTTGTCAGCCAAACGCAGAGGTGTGATCTCGACAGCGTGGCAGCTCGCACCGCCGAGTGGGATACACGTGGAACAGAAACAGAGGAAGTCGTTCGTCCATGTTGCGAGCTGTGCCGTTTCCGAGCTGAAATCGTGGCGCGTTCCCGTCGTGAGCTTCCTCTGGTACGGTGGAGCGCTCGCAACCAATCAACGCGTTGATCCCGCCATCTCACCGACGCGACTGCTCTCGACATGACGCTTCACTTTCTTGTTCCCAAACGAGCCTGAGCTCGGTTACGCCCGCATCCTCGACGTCAATCCATCGCGAACAACCAGCCGCCACAATGCCCGCACCATCGCCCCTGCCAACCTACCTCTACAAGATCCTCCCCTCTGCGCCACCATCACCCCTCCCCGACCGTCTGCCGCTCTCAGACCTCGACCGCAAGGATGGCTTCATCCACCTGTCTACCTCTGAGCAGACAGCAGGTACAGCAGACAGGTTCTTCAGCGACGTCACAGAGCTGTGGCTGCTGAAGATTAAGCGCAGCACACTGGAGGACGGCACAGATGGCCATGGCAAGGCCGGCGCGGACAACAAGGCGAGGTTCCAGTGGGACGAGACGGGCCACGGCGCCTTTCCGCACTTCTATGGAGGAGACTTGGGCAAGGGCAACGTGCAGGAGGTGATCAGGGCTGGGAAGAAGGGGACTTGGGCTGAGAGCCTCAAGCTCGAGTGGTGATATTGATCAACCGGGCGGGAGAGGAGCGGTGGCGAGGATATCATTGTATTCGTCGAGTATGGTACAAGTGACGACACGCCACGCTAAGATGTATGCATGAGAACCAAAACCCCATTCCAAAACGCCGTGGATCCGCGTGCAGGCGTAGCATCAACATGAGCGTATCCAATTGTGGCCGTAAGAGGCGCAAGGCCTGATCCAGCGCTGCCCCGTCTCCCCCACAGCCCGTGAATCCTTGCTGCTTCGACTCCATCCCGCCACGTAGTCGGTCCATGTAGACCTCGTCTTCGCCGACGCACAGACTCGTGCCTAAAAGTCGTTGAAGTACTCGTCCCACTTGTCGCTCAGCTCCTTTGTGTACGGATCCCTGTGACTAGACTCGTCGTCGTACTCGTCAAAGTTCCTCGTGTCGGCTGGCCCTCGCAGGTGCGGGACAATCGGCCCCTGGACCTCGCGGTTGTACATCTTGTCCCAGTCAATGTCCTTGAACCACTCGTGCTCCTTGACGCGGCGGGCGCCGCCTGCGATGTTGCCGAGTCGTTTTGAGACGTCGACGGTGCAGAGCCCGGAGATCAGATCGCGAGCGGGGGCGGACATTGCGCTGGGGAAGCGGACCTTGCCTTGTACGATTCTGCGTCATGATCAGTGGAGTGCGTCGGTGGTTCGGGTGGTCGATGGCGTACTGTTCGTAGATCTTCATAGGATTCTGGTCCCAGAAGGGCGGCTGGCCGACGAGGAACTCGTAGACGAGGATTCCAAAGGCCCACCAGTCCACTGCTGTGCCGTGGCCTGCCTGTGTCAGAGTCCGAGCTGGGTAGTGTGCGCGTGTGAGTCTTGCCTGTATTTCTGATAACTTCGGGCGCGAGGTACTCTGGTGTGCCGCATAACGTGTATGTTTCCCCTGTCCGCGTCAGAACCACGTTCCAGAGAGGTCGGCACTGTCGACGCACTATCCTCTACTTTCTTTGCGAACCCAAAGTCGACCAGCTTAAGGTGGCCTTCGGCGTCGATGAGTATGTTCTCTGGTTTCAGGTCGCGGTACGCAACGCCTTCGCGCTCGTGCAGGAACTCTAATATCAGCACAATCTCGGCGGCGTAGAACTGTGAAGTGGGCTCGTTGAAGCGCCGCGCCCGTCGCAGGTAGCTAAAGACCTCGCCACCGGGGCAGTAGTCGAGCTGTGCGTGTCAGTCAGTGGAGCGCTTGGGGCAGGGTGCTGGCGGGTGGCCGACGTACGACCATGTACAGCGAGTCTATGGACTGGAAGCTGGCCACCATTGTGGTTATGAAGGGGTGGCCGGCGACTTTGGCGAGGACGTTGCGCTCGTTGCGTACATGCTCGACCTGCTTGAGGCGGATGACTGGGCTCGTCAGCGGCTGCATGCATCTCACGCTTCCACGCCGTACCGTCGACCTTGCGCAGGATCTTCAGAGCAAAGACCTTGTCGGCGTCGGCCTGCTGGGCGTCGCGCAGGCGCACCAGCCAGACGCGCGCAAAGGTGCCGGTGCCCAGGGTCTTGATCAGCTCAAAGTCCTCCTGGCGCAGGACCTTGCTCGAGTGGCCGACGGGCTTCTGCTGCGGGTCCTTGTGGATGTCGTCCGGGCTCAGCGTGTGTCGCTGGGCCTCCCACTGGACGAGCGAGCGCTTCTCCGCCTCGCGCGGCTTGTCCATGGCCGAGTCGTTGCGGTCGTGCAGCGGAACCGAAGGCTTGCGCGCGCCCTCCTTCTTTTCACGGTGGTGCTCGATCGGGTGGAGCAGCCGGTTGACTGTCGTCGCCATGGTTGCTGCTTCGGGCGCCGGTCACGTCACGTCAGGGTCTGGCACGGCAGGAGCGGGAGTCGCGAGGTCCGAGGGCGGCTTCCAGACTTATGAGGGCATCGCAGGCCTCGCGCGGGGTGGGCGAGACGCAGACTGATGCGGCGGAACGTGAGGGCTGGGTGCGGGCGCGGGCGGCGGCAGGCCTGAAGTGCTGCAGCTCTCACCCAGGGCCAGGGGGGCTTTGCCTGTCACAGTCCGCAGCCATGGCGGGGGGGGGGGGGGGGGCTTTCATCTGGGATGACGCAGCGTGGGGAATCGGCCGTTGCTGCAAGCCCGCAAAAAAGCCGACCTACCGCCGCGCATAGATGGATGCACGGCAGAGCAGCAGCAACCTACGCACTCGACATGTACGCTGTCCAGACGCGCCAGGGTTTCACTGCTTGATTGTTGACATGTGGTTGAACTTGGTGCCAATAATGCATGTCTGTATTCAGTGCGCTGTGCTTGTATCTGACAGACTGCCGCGTTTGGGTACCTTTCCATACATGCTCCCTCGACCTCCTCAAACCCCCTGTCCTGACATGTGCTTCCCATCTGCTTCCAACGAGAACGCCTGCATCTACTAGCAACGAGAGCTCCTGCATCTACTAGCAACGAGAGCTCCTGCATCTACTTGCAACGAGAGCTCCTGCGTCTACTAGCAACGAGAACGCCCCTCCCTGGACGTAAAGTACTGCTCCCAACGCCGGATATGATACATGCAATAGTGTTTCTACCCCAAATGTTCGGTACACGAAGACGATCAAGCACGCTCAGCCACTGGCGCGGGTGTTCATGATGAGGGCGACGATGAGACTGGACGTGTTAGTGCCAGCCCTTCACCAGGCCGCGTCGTAGACATGTGACGTACCCGTAAAGACCCAGGACTTCGGCGAAAATGAGGATGAGGACCATGCCGACAAAGATCCTCGACTGGCGCATGAAAGAACGCACACCCTGTGCCCGTTAGCAGTCGCTCTCCTGTGCTCTCACGTCGTGTACGCACGGCGTCTCCGACAATGCCAATGGCGTAGCCTGCAGCCAGGCCGGACAGGCCGACAGACAGGCCGGCGCCCATGTGCATGAAGCCCGCAAACAGCGAGTACTCCTTCTCGGGCGGGGGTTTGATGTCGCTGGCGATCAGGACGGAAATGACGAGGGCGTAGACGGCCAGGATACCAGACATGACGATGGGGATGAGGGACTGGGCCAGTGTCAGTCTGAGCGCCCGTGACGGGTTCGACAGCTCGCACCTTCATAATCAGGTCGGGTCTGTATGTTCCAATGCCGGCGATGCCCACGCCAGCTTTGGCTGTGCCGTAGGCAGCTCCCATGCCTGCTCGCCATTAGCTCCAATGCGTGTCGTCTGCGGGCACGGGGGAGGGGGGAGGGGACGCACATCCAAAAGACATCTGGGCGGGGTTCAGTCTTTAGCTTGCAAGCTGTGGCGGACGGGGGGGGGGACTCACTGCAAAGAAGATGCCGCTCTGCGTGCTGTTAGCGTGTGAAGTCATGGGCGGCTCTGGGGGCGCTCACCATGCCGAAGAACGGCGCGAAGCTGGGCGAGTAGGAATCGACCTGGCCCGACATGTTGCGTGTGTGTGCTGCTCCGCGACGGCGAGATGTAGAGAGGGGCGACGTTGGTGAGTGATGGGGTTGGATGGCTGGCTAGCTCTCTTGCACTCGTGCAGCAAAGTCCGAGCGGGAGCGTCGCAGCCAGCCAGCCAGCTAGCCGAGACGTCAGTGACCGCCTGCGTCGCCCAGCGGCACGTCTCGACTCCCGCACGCTGCTGCGACCAGCACCGCCCGCCCGCTGCCCTCGCCTGCCCGCTGCCCTCGCCCGCCCGACGCCGTCCTCGCCCGCCCGGCGCTCGTTGATCGCTCTCGCTCTCGCTCGCCCGCCCGCCCGCTCGCATACGCACTGCCTCGTCGCCGCCCGTCGCCTGCACGGCCGCCGCGGACCCCTCGCTGGGGAGACAGCACGAGTGCTCCTCCCGACATCCAACGCCCGCCTCCGAATGTGCCCCGGCGCACCGCAGCGACCACTGCCGACTGAAGCGCGCCCATGGCCAACTACGGGAGCCAGCAGGGCGGAGGGCCGTCGCAGCACGGCCAGCCCTCGGGCGGCGCGAGAGACGCCGCCTTTGCGAACATCTTCGGCGCCAGTCCCGCCATGGCCGGCCGCTCGCAGACCATGACCTCGCAGTCGCACGCGCGGATCCCCGACCGCGCCGCCACCATGTCCTCGCAGACGGCCGACATGATGCACCGCATGCCGCCCGTACGGCCGCCCGTCAATGGCTACGACCGCCGCCCGGCCGCCCCGTCCAGCTTCGACCCGCGCGCCCCAGCCAGCTTCGACCCGCGCGCCCCAGCCAGCTTCGACCCGCGCGCCCCGGCCAGCTTCGACCCGCGCGCCCCGGCCAGCTTCGACCCGCAGCGCCCCCAGAGCCACGACCTGCCGCCGCAGGGCCACCAGCGCGCCATGCCGCCGCCCAACGGCTACCCGCCAGACCCGCGCTTCGCCCACGGCCCTCCCCCGCAGCGCCAGCCGCAGCCGCAGTACCTGCCCCATCCGCTGCGTCCAGAGCGCCAGCCCTACGGCCAGCCCCAGCGCTTCGACCCGCGACCCCTGCCTCCTGGCCAGCCGCCGTTCAACAAGCCGATGCCTCCGCGCCTCGCAGGTGCCGGTGCGCCCGCCATGAACGGCGACCCGTACCGCTCGCAGTCGCTGGCGACGACGCCTCGCCCGCAGTTCAACGGGCCCAGCCCGAGCTACCAGTCGCCGGCAAACGCCTTCCGCCAGCAGCCCTACATGAATCACATGGCGAGAACCACTGCCCAGGGTCGTGTGGTGCCTGAGCGACCAGACGAGCGGACCATGTCCATGACTTCGTACCGCGCCGGGGGCGACGGCGACTTTGGACCGCAGCAGACGATGATGAGTGGGCGCGTCATCCCTGCCCGGAGACGAGAGTCGGACGGACAGGAGATGGACCCCAGCGCTCAAAGGCCTCCTGCGGCTTCCCCGCCAGCAAGCACGGGCCCCGGGACAAGGACCAGAAACGCAAGCCAGGGCAGCATAACGCAAATGCGCACCATGTCCATGGCGTCTACAATCGCCCCGTCGATTGCTCCGTCCCAAGCTGAGCGCACAGAAACCATGTCCTCGGCCGTCACCCGCCCGAGCAGTACGGCGACCAGCAGCAGCAGCAACAGAGCCTCTGGCCAGTCTCACGCCGGGACGATTGTGCCCGCGGAGCAGCAGGGGAGGCAGCGACGCGCGCCTCTTGTGTACCCCGCACTGCTCTCGCGCGTGGCCACCACCTTTCAGGACAGGGTCCAGATATCGGAAAAGGAGAAGGACGGGCTGGTCTACCAGAGCGCCTTCACCGGAGCAGACGCCGTCGACCTGATTGCCTTTATCATCAAGACCACCGACCGCAACTTGGCGCTCCTGCTTGGCCGATCCTTGGACGCCCAAAAGTTCTTCCACGATGTCACGTACGCGCACAGGCTGCGCGACTCGACAAACGAAATCTACCAGTTCAGGGAAACAATGATGGAGGAACAGGCTGATGTGAACGGCGTCTTCACGCTTCTCACCGAATGCTACTCGCCGACCTGCACGCGGGATAGACTGTGCTACTCGATTGCCTGTCCTCGCCGTCTTGAGCAACAGGCCCGCCTCAACATGCGCATCCAGCCCGGTCTCAAGCGTGAAGAGTCTCGTGCTAGTCTCCACGAGGACACGAATGACGAGGAGCAGAAGCTCTGGATCAACACGGTTCCCAAGGATGTCGCTGACAGCGTCTCGGACAAGGAGAAGAAGCGCCAGGAAGTCATCTCTGAGCTCATGTACACTGAAAGAGACTTTGTCAAGGATTTGGAGTATCTCCGTGACTTTTGGATGAAGCCACTCAGAAACCCTGCCACCTCGCCGATTCCGGAACACCGCCGCGAGAAGTTTGTTCGCACTGTCTTCAGCAATTGCCAGGAGGTCTACATGGTCAATTCGCGCCTGGCAGAATCTCTGACCAGGCGGCAACAGAAGGAGCCTGTCGTGCGCAACGTCGGAGACATCTTCCTCGAGTACGTTCCTCACTTCATTCCCTTTATCAAGTACGGTGCGAACCAGCTGTTTGGAAAGTACGAATTCGAGCACGAGAAACGGACCAATGCTGCCTTTATGAAGTTTGTGGACGAGGTGGAGCGCATGAAGGAATCGAGGAAGCTCGAACTCAACGGATACCTCACCAAACCGACGACGAGGTTGGCCAGATACCCGCTCTTGCTGGAAGGCATCCTGAAGGCGACTGCCGACGGTAATCCCGACAAGGAGGATCTGCCAAAGGTCATCAAGATGATCAAGGACACCCTGTCCAAGGTCAACGTCGAGTCTGGAAAAGCCGAGAACCACTTCAACCTGATGCAGCTCAACAAGGACCTCAAGTTCCGTCCGGGAGAGTATGTCGACTTGAAGCTCACCGACGAGAATCGCCAGCTGGTGTTCAAGGGCAACCTGAAGAAGACGCCGACAGAGACTACCGGCGACATTACGTGTTATCTCTTCGACCACGCCATCTTGCTTGTTCGCACAAAGACTGTCAACAAGCGCGACGAGCAGAAGGTCTACAAGAAGCCAATCCCGCTGGAGCTTCTGGTCATTACTCAGATGGACGATATCATCCCTCGTCTGGGCATAGCGAAGAGGCCTTCAGGAACGACCCTGATGGGTGCTGGCGCGAAAGCCATACAAGCAGCCGCGCCAAGGGCCGATGCAAACAAGCAGCAGGGCTATCCGATCACATTCAAGCATCTCGGAAAGGGTGGCTACGAGATGACGCTCTACGCGAGCACCTCGATCTCGCAACAGAAGTGGATGGAGCACATTGAATCACAGCAACGGTCGTTGAGAGAGCGCAGCAACATCTTCACCAAGTCCATCATCAACGAAGGCTTCTTCTCTGCGGCCATCAGGGCCACCTGCGCTGTTCCTCTTGGTAAGATGGGCGTGGCACTTGACGTGACTCGGCTGACAATTCTGCAGATGGCGGTCGCAAGCTGGCTCTTGGTACGGATGCCGGCGTCTACATTGTGGACCGCAAGCCCAAGGATGCTTCCATGCGGCCCAAGCGAGTCCTGGACACCAAGGGTGTGACACAGATTGACGTTCTCGAGCAACATCAGATCCTGCTGGTACTGGCCGACAAGACCCTGTACTCGTACTCTATTGAAGCCTTGGATCCCGACGAAGCCCAGGCCGCGGCCAAACGTCCGAGAAAGATCTGCCATGCCAACTTCTTCAAGTCCGGCGTCTGCGAGGGGAAGCAGCTGGTGGCGTCAGTCAAGACGTCGGCACTCAGCACGACCATCAAGGTTTTCGAGCCCAAGGAGAACATGGCCAACAAGGCCAAGAAGTCTGGTTTCGCCAAGATGCTCGCCCAAGGACAAGACCAGCTCAGGCCGTACAAGGAGTTCTACATCCCTACCGAGTCCTCCTCGCTGCACTTTCTCAAGTCGAAATTGTGCGTTGGCTGTGCGCGGGGTTTCGAGGTCGTCAGTCTCGAGACTCTGGAGACACAGTCCTTGCTCGATCAAGCCGACACATCGCTCGACTTTGTCGTTCGCAAGGAGAACATTAGGCCGATTCATATCGAGCGCTTGGGAGGCGAGTTCTTGCTGTGCTACTCGGACTACTCCTTCTTCGTCAACCGCAACGGGTGGCGAGCACGACCAGACTGGAAGATCACCTGGGAGGGCAACCCGCAATCGTTTGCCATATTCAACCCCTACATCCTGGCTTTTGAGCCCAGCTTCATCGAAATACGGCACATGGAGAGTGGTGGCCTGGTACACATCGTCACGGCGAAGAATATTAGATGGCTGCACTCATCCACCCGAGAGGTTCGTAATGGCGCGCCTGTTGGTGATGGTCCCACGCTGACGATGACACAGATTCTGTACGCGTACGAAGATGAACTGGGCAACGACGTTGTCGCCAGTCTGGATTTCTGGCAGGCTGCAAACGGGCCCGCTCACAAGCAGTCCATTGAGAGCGCGCGCTACGACAAGAGCTAGAAGCCGCTGTCAAAACCGCGGTCAGCATGGGTTCAGCTGCTGTCAGAACTGGTACAGGCACTGGGCCAGGGGCCATGTCTGTTTTCCATGGTCATGTGCACTCGAACTGCTCATTTCAGTATGGGCATTTGCCCGGTCTAGCGCCAGAACCAGACACTCCCGCGATGGAGCGCGGATGTTATTCGGCTTTCCACTGCGCTTTGTCGTGGGACCACGTCCGTCGACGTGCTAAGGTTGGCGCGAACGGACTGCGCCGCGACAAAGCAGCAGCTCATAGCATTTTCGTCCATCTGGTTTTTGTATAGTGCGCACAGCTGAGCGCGCTGGTGGAAATCTCGAGTGCAAGTCCGGCAAGGGACTTGCCGGGGCTTGACGGGGGGCATGTTGGACGAGATGCCATGTCTGATTAGCGGTCATGATAATGGAACGTCTGTTGATTGTTGTTGGAGCCTGTGCCATGGCAAGATATCAAACTGACTTTCCCCATGTCAAGTGAAACTTCTCTGCAGCGACGTCATGTCGGGTAGGGGGTGGTTGCTGGGCCAACGTCGGTTAGCATCCCTGAAACGGCATTCCTTACACAGACTCCGGCGCAGCCACGAACCACGGCCCAGCAGCCTTGGAGACACTCGCTCACGTCGCCGCTATGCCCGCAAAGATTGTGTACGGGAAAAAGGCAACCGCACGCCCGACGTCTGCGAGCTACACAAAGTTCCTGTCGCCCGAGAACGACGCGCTATTCATGACGACAAAGAACAAGACGGACAAAGTAGACGACCCCGCGACACGACCGGCAAAGACGACCGAGCAAAAGATACAGGATGAGCTGTCGGCGCTGGAAGCACAGTTGGTCGGGTTAGCCATAGACAAGGACGATGCGTCGCACAATGAGGCCTCGAAGAAGCCCAGAAGCAGGTCGAGGAAGGCCCTCAAAGATCGCGATGCAAACACGGTCTCGGCGAAGACCAGCAAGGACACCAAAGGGCTCGAGGATGCAGAGATGAAGGCAAAACCTGTATCGAAAGCGCCCACGCCACCGAGCACACCTCCCCACACAGCCCCCCGCACACCTCCCCGCACACCAATCGCTAGGACCACGAAGAAGAAGAGGTCGAAAGCTACCACGTCGAAGAAGAAGACGCAACTGCCCACTCCAGAACCTACGCCGGAGCGCGACGATATCTATTCGCAGTATGTCTCGCCACTGCTGTCATACAGCGACGCACGGAGGATCACGACGTTTGAGCAGTGGTCGTCGGAGCTGGAACCGCTCTTCGAGATCACCAAGATCGCGGAAGCGTCCTTTTCAGAGGTGTACCGCTTGTCAGCTATATCAGCAACGACTGGTCTCCGAGAAGAGTCGGTGCTGAAGGTGGTCGCACTGAAGTCCCCCGCAGGCGAGCCACTGCCATGCCAAAGGTCAGAGCGCGCGGTCAGGGATATGGAAAAGCAGCTGGCGAAGGAGACGGAGGAGAGAGAAGAGAAGAACTGGTACAAGTCGCACGTGGCCGATGTTCTGTCCGAGGTCAAGCTTCTGCAGAACCTAAACTACATCCCGGGCTTCACCAACTTCCGCGATCTCACCGTGCTCCAGGGCCGGCCGTCGTCTGCGTTCAGCGACGCGTGGAAGGCGTGGAACAAGGACCGCGCCCGCGGCAAGAAGAGCTGCTTCGCCGACCCAAGCAAGAAGAGCAGCTACGACGCCACCCAGCTCTGGGCCGTGGTGGAGATGCAAGACGCGGGTATCGACTGCGAGAAGCTGATGGAGGCCGGTGGTCTCGGCACAATCTGGGAGATCTGGGACGTGTTCTGGGGCGTGTGTCTGAGCCTCGCAAAGGCAGAGGAGGCGTGCCGCTTCGAGCATCGCGACCTGCACATGGGCAATATCTGCGTGCGCTCGTCGCGCTGCGCGCGTAACCACGTGGTGCAACCTACGATTAAAGACCCGCTGCGGCGCAAGTTCAGATTCTCGGGCCTCGAGACTACAGTCATCGACTACACGCTGTCGCGCGCCGACGTGGTCGCACACGACCGCACAGCGCCGTCACGCTCCCAAGACACCGACACTGAAGTCGCATACCTCGACCTCAGCAAGGACCCCGCGCTCTTCCAGGGCGACGCCGCAGAAGAGTATCAGTACGAAATCTACCGCTACATGCGCGGCGCAGCCCTCTACAACAACCCGCTGCAGAACGAACCCACCGCAGAGCCCAACCCAGCACCAACGACGCCCCGCCGCTCGCCGCGCAAAAACACACACATCCGCTTCCCCGCGTCGCCCGCGACGCCGTCGCGCACCGACCCAGACACCAACCCGGATACCGCCCCAGACACCGCCCCAGACACCGCCCCAGACACCGACCCAGACACCGCTCCAGACACCAACGTCTGGCGCGCATTCCACCCCGGCACAAACCTGGTGTGGACACACTTCCTCCTGCACAAACTGCTCAGACACCTCAGCGGGTTCGAGCCAGAGCACCTATCGGCGCGCGACACCATGGCCAACGTCGAGCTCGGGCGGGACGAGGGCGTGTCCGCAGCGCCGCTGAGGGTCAAGGCTAAGGCTGTGCGGCTGCACGAGCGGCTGCAGAGGGTCGGGGAGTTGCTTTGTCCTGTTAAGCTGGGGAGGGAGGGGGGGTTGGGGAGTGTCAAGGAACTTGTGCTGTACGCGGTGGGGGAGGGGTGGTTGAGGGTTGGGGATGTTAGTGGGTAGATGTGTGAGTGGGTAGATGTGTGAGGGGGTAGATGTGTGAGGGGGTGGATGTGTGAGGGTGTGGATGTGTGAGGGGGTCAGAGTTGGATGTGTGAGGGGGTCAGAGTTGGATGTGTGAGGGGGGCGAGGTTGGGATGGCGTTGCACTGCATTGCGTGGTGTTTTTGTATTCTTCCACAAGGTTGTGTGCATGGCGGGCTCGTGGGCTTGGGGAGTCTTGCTTTGGATATTTTTTAGGCGTTGTCGGAGCACTGCTCTTCGAACGTGGTATTCATGGTCAACATGCTCCGTGTTCTACGTCGAGACTTTTGCGGCGGCGAGGCTGTGAGGCCTTTTTGTTACAGCGTGACACTCACAGTGATGGGAGGACGTTCGCGGGAGTAGGCGTGCGCGTGAGGTGCCTTTGGGTCGATTCGAGCAGGACGTTGCTCTCTTGTGTCCTGCGGTGGTGGCTGCGCGGATGGAGATGCTGTGTCCTCGGAGAGGCTGCGTCCTCGGAGATGCAGGAGATGCAGGAGATGAAAAGGTCAAATTCAAGTCAAACAGTGAGGTCAAGTGAGGTCAAGTCAAACAGTGAGGTCAAGTGAGGTCAAGT